CCTGAGCCTAACTTTTAATTGTGTCTTTCCTCAATTTTTAAATCAAATTACCTAAGTATCTCAGCCAGGCGCACCGATACCCCCCCCCCCATTTGCCGGTTATCATAAATACCATTTTAAGCTAATTTTCTCATACCCCCCCTCTCCCACCCCCATTATTCTCCCTCAAGATTGTATACAATATATCACTATAAAGAAGTAAAGTTAGCAACTTTAAAATAATGGCTAATAATTCGAAAATTTTAGAAATAAACATTTTTTAAAAAAAAGTGAAAACATAAAAATTATTTTTATAAAATAATATAGCCACAGACATACAATAAGTGAACCCAAAGACCTCTAATAAAATGTATGTGGGAATATGACAAACATTTTTAGGTTTTCTAGAAGATATAAAAATGATTACAATGTAAAGTGGTGCCGTTCTCTTCTAGGAAAAGAAATCTTTTTGCGGCATAACGACAAATAAAAACTAACTAAATATTTATGACCATGGACTATTAAATATTAAAAAAAGTATTCAAAATAGCAAATAAAAGGTAATATTTTGTGTATATTGGGAATTAAATGTATTGTTGATAATAATTTTGTTAGTAATTGCGTCATTTTTTTTCCATTCAATTTATCCTCCCAAAAAGTTGTCTACTTAGTTAGAAGTATATTTATTCAAACCTGAAAATATTATAAAGGCAAATATATCTCATATTTTATTTGTTTACAATATTTTAACGCTAACTCGAAATAATTGCTCTTTAAAAAATGAAAAATATTTTATAAAATTTGATTTTAAACAGAAGATAAAAAGTTTTGGCTGAATGGTCAATAATTCACTTGTTTATGGTACAGTTTTTAAATCCTTTCAAAATATATATTCAATAAATGGTTTCATTTAATTATAAATTTAGCCTAAGCTATAACGTCCTTATATCATTTTTCCCAAATTTTATTCATTATTTCTACGAATATCCCATTAACACATACTTTAAGTATTCCGATGTATTTGCCCTATATCCCATTATGTTTTCCAAGGCATAATTCACCCCCCCCCCCCAGATCAATACATGATAATTTCCCAGACATATTTCGCCATCCCATTATCGGATTCATTTCCCATTTCTGGCCGCCATTTAAAGCAAACCCTGCATATTAGCAGTATGGGTATAACCTTCCCCCCCCCCTTAATAAAGATCGACTTTGCAAGAATCTAGCCACCCTAGTTTTTCTCACAAATATTTCACAATATTAATCATTTAGAATATCAACCTCCTTTTCAAATTTTTCCATTTCAAAATTATCAGATTTCTGAATTTAATCTGATCCATTTCATTCCATTTCATTCCATTTCATTCCATTTTATTCTATTCTATTCTATTCTATTCTATTCTATTCTATTCTATTCTATTCTATTCTATTCTATTCTATTCTATTCTATTCTATTCTATTCTATTCTATTCTATTCTATTCTATTCTATTCTATTCTATTCTATTCTATTCTATTCTATTCTATTCTATTCTATTCTATTCTATTCTATTCTATTCTATTCTATTCTATTCTATTCTATTCCATTCAATTATTTTTTTTACATATTTCCAGTTTCTTGAAAAAATTTCCATTATTTTACCATCATGTCATTGTTCCATGATTTTATATTCCAGCAGTCTACCGTATTTAATTCTGTTGGAAATTTTTTTTTATCCAATCTTCTAATCATTATATACTATCTTATCTTTTATAACATTTTTTTAAAGTTTATCTAAAATCTCATACCCTTTTAATATGATTTTTATTAATTCCCAATGAGATTCTTTTCCCCGAAATTTATACCTTTTTCAAATTTATCTTTGATTTCATGAATTGCCTTTACCATCTACCCTTCTATAGGACTCAACAAAACTATCTCTATTTTCTTTACAATCACCCGCCCATAGGATATAATAAAATTGTTTCCTTTATTATTTTTACAATCCAGCCTTCAGATTCTATAGAATTATTTTCATTAATATTTATACCGAGATTCATGTTGCACAATCTCTAATTTTACCTTTTTGCTATCACATAATTAATATTGACAATGAATATCAACATGTCCAAATCCTTTCACATTTAAAACATTTCATGAAATCATCACGATTTTCAATGATATTTATCAATGTTTGACTTTCCTCATTTTACTTGAGAATTAATTGGTTCATTTATTCTTGGTAGGAAACCACCTCCATTATTTCCAGTTAAACATTTTGCCTCAGGGAGTGTAATGTTTAATGTCCTGGTTTATTACATGTACTACAAATAAAATGACTAGCGTCCCTTTGGAAATTGTTCCACATAATATTATTCCCATTTTGAAATCATTATCATAATTATGCCAATTAGGCCAACTATTTACACGACTTTGGAAATCCGTACGATTTCTAACCCCGGCTTCTCGTTATTGCAACCCAATATGAACGTGAATCCAAAAAAGTTTTTTACCCAGGGGTAAAAATATTTGTTTGGTATTATTTATTGTTAAATCATCATATTTTACGACTTTAACACCTAACATATTTATAAGAAAATAATTAATATTTTAATCAAAAAAAAATCTTAACTTGTTAATGTTAACTCTAACAATTAATACTTTTGCCAATTAACAATAATACACATAATGTCTTTCTTTTCGTTGATAAAATAAACAAAATTCAAAAGAAACTCTTCACTAAACTAAAAGTCAATAATATAAATTAATGATTCTCCTTAAATAAATTAAAAAAAATATATATCTACTAACTTCGAACCCGAAATTACTAAATTTAATATGTGAATGTGACAGATATATTATTTTATCCGCAAGAGGGCATCTTTCTAATATTTTTTTTAAACTGGTTTATAAAAATTATTTTATATTTTTGAAATGTTTTCAAAATGTAATCTTTTATTTTTTTTCCATAAAAAATCGTAATTTAAGTATATTGTTCTAACTCTAACGGTAAAAAAATAATTGGCTCTTTAAATCAAAAATTTAAAAACATAATTCAGTAACTGGTGGTAATCTAGAATTTTAACTAATAAATTTAGCTAATTAAACTCGATGGGATAATCTCATATAAATACGCTTTGAATTCGAAATCTGAGTCCTAGTAGCGTTGATAAACAGCTCGATTTAGCCAATTTTAAATTAAGATTTTAGCTAAAACAATATTACGTAAGACTCAAGAATATGTTAATAGATGTCCAAACCTTTCTGCCATTGAAAAAAATAGGCAGGCTTGCGCAATATTTTTTGATACTACCTTCTAGCTCGTTCTTATTCCTTTTAGAATTCTGAATAGCGATCTGATAGAATATGATTTTAGGCTAAACAAAAATCTTAATTCACCGCGTTATTTTGAATATCATCATTTATGTATAAAAATTAATAATAAAAGAGCGACCTTAAGTAATGTAAAATGAGACGGCTCGGACACAGTCGAAGTGTATCATTTTATAATTGAAAAATATCCTTTAGGAGAGTTTGTAAAAATTATCATACTAATCTCGCTAGTAATATAATATATCACTTTTAAATTATCACAGGAAGATAAAATAATGCTAAATTCAATTTTGAAAAAAAAAAATGAAATATTTGTTGATTGTTATTTTCGTCGGATTTTACGTATGACTTAATTTTTATCGATTGATTTGTAAATAGAGATATAAAATCAATCTTTATAATAAACTATAATACCTTAAAGGCAGAGTATTCGGATCCAATTTTTTCGGGTTCAGGAGAGCGAATATAAATTGTTAAAATCAGATTTAACCGAAAAAAATAATCCGGCATATATATAGAGTTGCACACAGTGCAAACTTTACCACTATTTTTTTTGACGATAATTATTTTGAATTACTCTTAATTTTATACGTATTTTTCTTATAATTTTTTTTAAAAAAAAAAAACCTAAGAAATTTATGGGGAAGAAATTATCTGAAATTCTTAAGGTAAAGTAAACACATGCTGAAAAACATTTCAGGTTCAAATCAGAATTTTTAAAATTTAAAAATCGCCCAGCAAATCCCTGCTTTAATTTGGGTAAGAAAAATTGCCATTTCTTTTAAAGAACCTTCCTGATTTTAAAAAGGTTGTCACCTTAAGCCGTGGTTACGGCCATTTGCAATTAATGATAAAAGAATATTATTTTTTTTATATATATAATTTTAAAACTCCATCTTTATTTGATTTTACCTTTTTTGACCATTTCTACCCAAAAATATTAAGGATAGGTAACTTAAGTTGCAACTGAGCCTTTTTTTCCAACATTAAGTTAAAAATCGTATTAAATTTAGTATAGATGCCGTTTGAAGAAAGAAAATATGTATGAACTAAATTATATTACCTCCTCCCCCAAACTGGTCTGGTCTTCAGAGGTATATACTTATTTCTATTCTTGTTAAACATACTTTAATATAATCTTTAATTTATCTTAATTTATTTGCAATCTGATTTAGAAAGAAGATTTTTTTAATTAGTTTTCTATTTTTTTTATATCCATTATAACTATCAGCTTATTAATATAATATCAATGCTGTATTAACTTTTTTCTAATAACTATAATAATTGCATATAGATGTAGTTAAATAAATATATATAGACCTTGTCATCAATTATTTATTAAACTAAAATTAATTATAAATTTTTATATTATAACTGATGGCTCCCCTCCATTAATTATAGATTATGTGTCAACAATGTTTGTACAATTGTTTTTTTATATTAATTGCAAGTATATATTCTAATTATTATTCCGTGTTTTGATTATCAAATATGTCATTGGTAAAATATAATTTTACAAAATTATATTAATTTTTTTGTATATAAAAATAGTTGCATGTCAACTGTCAACTTTTAAATGGAAGCATTGCTCTACAAATTATTAAAATATGATTTGGCTAATTAAAATGCACCAATCCTGTTTATATTATATCTCATAAAACAGTAAATAAATAATGAATTTATGTAATTACGTATATTATCTTAAATATTTATTTACAGCTCGATCTTGTTCTCTTTCCACTTTTGTTGGTATTCGTCAAAATATTCATCATTTTCAGGCTTTTCCGAGTAAGGCACATAATAATCTTTGGTCGAATCTATTTTGTTTGTCCTAACATCGTCCACATTCTTGGAATTCTGCTTTGATATGTAATCATTAGCTGTAAGTTTGGGTAATTTGGTTGATCTTGCTATAGTTGGTTTTGAATCTCTTATCGTGGTTGATTCATGCGAAGTTTCAAATGTATTTTTTGGTTGTACAGTTGAACTTTCGAGTTTCACGGTTGTTGAATCTATTTTAACCTCGTCAGACCCCGGAATCTTGTCATGGAGATTCGCTTCTTTTTGAATATTTCCTTCTTTTGCCGATTTATGAGGACACTCATTATTGTTAGAGGCAGTTCCTTCTTTTTTGGTGGAATCCTTGGGATCTTTATCTTTTTTATCCTTGCTCTTTTTCTTTTTCTTGTTTTTCTTCTTCTTGTTTTTCTTCTTTTTTTTATTGTCCTCATCGGTAGAATTGCGTACACGTATGGTAGCTTTTTTCATGTCATCTATATCCATATCATTTTTTATCTTTTCATTCAGGGCTACTTGGCTCATGTATCCAATGATTCTAAAAGTTCTTTTGTAATGTTTATACATATTGTCTAAATTTTCGAGTTCTTCGTCAGTTAGACCTTCCTTATATATTATCAATATATATAAATAGTTAATATTTCGATTATAAATAAATGATACTACTAATAAATGTGTTTATTAAATTATTTCTTCAATAAATTAAAGAGGCCATAATTAATTTTAATATAACTGTATCAGGTAACATGCTAACGCTAAGGTAGTAGTCATAATAAATCTAAATTGCTGATAAATAGGAATTAAATAAAAGTAAATTATTTAAAATATTCGATTTTTTTTAAAAGAATATCTTACCAAATTATCATTCATGTCAGAAGACTCAGTAGAATTTTTGGCAATAGCCCTTGAGACGTCTTTCCCAGCTAAATAATGAAGAGTCGCGTTAATGCTATAATTATCTTGGTAAAATAAAATAAATTTTTTTAAAAATCATAATACTACGAATTTACAAAGAAAATGTTTACGATTTCTTGCTAAACATCTCAGCCAAATTTGATATGAGCATACTTTAAATTATTATTGTATATTTAATTTATGGACCAATTCAAGGAAATTGCCGATACAGCCGCTGATTTATCTCAATTTCTCTTCACTTAATATATCTCATAACCCAACCTTAAATTGAACCTAACCCTACTCTTTACTGTCAGATATTTGCTTAATTTTAAATATATCTCATCCAATTATAAAAACTTTGAGTTGAACATTCTTCGATTTAAGCCATTATCTATATATTTGACGCCAACAAGTTTATTTACATTTATTCTTATGTTGATAGAGTTTTTATCAAAATATTAGATAAATATTAATTAATTTTGAAAGTTCTTATGACTATAATAAATATTCTAGACTTGCAAGTCAATCATTAAATGTATAACAATAGGTCTCATTTTTTTTCACGACCCGCTACTCATGAATACAAAATATTTTTTATTATCATTCACGTTTTATGTTAAAATAGACATTTAAAAATAAAAATCTATGTAAAGATGAAAAATGCCAATATTTTTTTATATTTTAGTTGGGTTCTTTTTTCTTTTAGTAAACGATTATTAGCTATAGAAAATATCCTTCACTGGAAACCCAACTGGCTGGGGATGGCAAAATTTTACTGGTTAATTTTTTTTTAAAAAGGCTCAAAATTGACAAGAATAGAAATTAATAGAAATATTCTATAAAATGTAAAATGTTAGAAATTTTGAAAAATTAAAATGTTTATTCAATTTTCTTCTGTCGAATTTGTGAAAATCGTGATTTGTAAAAAAAAAATTCGTTTTGGGTATAGTCTCCTAAAGGAGTTTCTAGGGGAACAAATCCTGTTATAAAATGTGTAAGGAAAGGGGTTACGTTTTTAAAGATGTTACCTTTTAAAATTTTCCGTGATTCGCGAAAAATTTTTAATCACGCCAATCACACCCGGTAATATTTTAGAAAAGCTCACCAGGCCCAATTACCGTTCCAATTCAAAAATTTATTCCCACTCACAGTGACCTACTGTGACTCGATGGACGCATGGGTTTTTACGACCCGCGTCCATCTATAATAGAAATCAGCTGGGGGATGCGCCATGGTTAATTTCGAACATAGTTTCATTTATAAAGAAACTCTTATATAGGAAACAAAATGGCGTCCACCGAAAAATAATTTAATAAATGAACATGTCATAGATGAAGATATATAAATATCAATCAATAATATCAATTATCCGAATTTGTATTTATATAATTAGTATGTCAATCAATATGGAATAAAAAATAATAATATAAATTTAAATTAAAAATACCTAATTCTGAGGTTACATCAAAGACCACACCTCTAATAGACACGTATATTGGTTCATTGGGCTTAACAAATGGTAAAAAAAATAATAATTAAGTATGCTATATAAATATGTAATATTTGCGTCATTTGTGGTATTATAGTCAGGTTTATGAAATGATGGCTATTTTCAGAGGTAATCGGAGAAAACCTTCCATAAAGAAATGAAAGAAATTAGGACAACTCAAAATGTTTATTATCATTTTTTATATTATAATGATGTTGCTAGTAGAGATCTGCAAAGTAGGCCTGGCTCGTACCCGGCCCGGCCCAACCGGGCTTCGGGCCGGGCTCAGGCCTAATTCTATTTATAATAATCAAGTCCGGGCCGGGCCTAATATTGAAAAAAAATTAGGCCGGGTAAGGTCGGACCTTGAAATTTTTTTTAAATATAGCCAAATTTATCAATTTCATATTGAATTTTTTATGTAAAATAAAATTTTTGATTTTATTTATTGAAACTAAACGACATATAGCATATTTCTTTTATTTTGAGTAATTATAAAAATTAATTTCTATATTTAAAAAAATTTGGGTCAGGCCGGGCTTGAAAAATTAGACCCGATGCAGATCACTAGTAGCTAGTATGGTCAGAAATTACAGGGGCTGAAGAGGCGCAAAAAAATTTCGACCCAAGGTTAGATGCCAGTGTCATTTTAATCAACCTCTTGGATTAGGTTAGGTTAAAAGAAATGCTGTCAAAAATATTTAATTTAGGAAATTTTTAAAAAAGGAAATCAAATTTTCACCAAAAAAAACTCAAGATTTGGTCAAAAGAAGATTTTTTGAAAAGCATCTAAATTGAGGTTTTTGACAAAACTTATAGCCAGGTATAGGATATAAAAATGGTCATTATTACGTTTTCCAATTTCAAAGTAATATTACATGGGTATCATTTTCTCTTTTTTTTTCTTTTCTGATGTAGTTTTCAGAAATATATTAAAAATATTGAATTATTATCTCATAATTAAGTTTTAGAATTTGAACTAAACAAAAAATTCCAGAACTTAGTCACGACTCGCGCGTTAGGTTTTCGGGTTGGATCAAACCGGTTCCAGAACCAATTCCAATTTTAAAAATGGTTCCAGTTCTGGTTTCTAAAAATGTTTTATTATCTGCTTCCAGTTCCTATATGTATCCATCAACCAAGTGTTTACAAATTCTCGAACTATACTTATAAATATCCAATCGTTATAATAATCTTTCTTAAGAGTAGTTTATTAGTGTATTTCTTCTAAAAAAAATAAAATACTATCTAACAATAAGCTTTTATAAACATGTATACCTACATTGCTTCCATCAAATCGACCTAAGAATGGTTCTGTGAAGATCATCGTAGGTTGATTGTCTGGTCCTGGCGCGACAAATATTTCTTCCAATTCGTATTTCGCGTGTAGACCCCATAGAATGGATTTTGCGCTTAGGATTAAAAAACAGAAATATAATCGATGCGATGTCATTATGCGCCAGCTGATTTCGATTAAATATGTGTATCGTTCCTTAAAAATGTTCAAAAATGTGACATAATATTATATATTTTTCAAAAAAAAAATAATATCTTAAGCACTTATTTAAAATTATTTTGATCATTATTTTGTCACGATAAGATATATAGACATTATTATTTTAAAATAACTAGGTCAATTCAAAACGTAATTAAAAATTTTCTATTTTTTATATATAAAATGGGGATCACGGGAAGCAAGTTCAAAAAGTCGTATATTTGCGACTAATAAAAACAAATATTTTTTATCATCTCCCCTTAGAGCGTTATTTATTCATCTTTCATTTTTTTAAAATATTATTTTAGTCTATGACATAAAATTTTAAGTCAAATTTAGAATTTGAGTAACTTTTTTTTTTTGAATTTTACCCAATTATTGCTCATTTTAGTATATTATAATAAAATGTTTAATTATTATGCATAACGGAATATTTCTCTTTTTAGAGTTATAACTTTTTCCATAAAGTCTTCTTATAAACGGCCAATTTGGGTTTACGGCCTGATTAATATTTTAGCCAAAATACAATTATGTAGGTCTCGAAATTTGGCAAATAGATGTCCAAGCCTTTCGCCATTTATGAGCAATATCTCCAGGTTTTCATAATAATATTTTTGCTATCTAATCGTGTCATTTTTAAAAATGGACTCATTTCGGGCCGTTTAACAATATAAAATCATCCTATTTTTTTTATCATTCCTTAAGGCATTTTATTCATTTATTTAGTAAAATTTCGAGTCAAATTTAGAATTTCCATAAACTTTTTTGACATTTTACCTAATTTATTGCCCATTCGCTTAAATGTTCAATTTATGTTTAAAATGTAAAATTTTTGAGTTATGACGACGTTTCCATATTCATATATTTAGTTTTATTGCCCAAAATAAAATTGCTGTAATTTAATCCAAAATTTTGAAAGGAATGTTTATATGTGAAACAATAAACTTTTCTAGATAACATTTTAATATAATTTTTTTTTAAGTTGTTTAGATTTAAAGAAATGTCTATTCCAAAAATATTTTTATATAATTTAGATCGATATAGATAATGAATTCTGTATCTTAGAAAACTCTTGAATTCCTGCCGGGAAACAAATAAATGATGATAAAAGTAATCGGTCAACTGTTGATTCTCATACTTTGACAGTATCAGAATGATGCAGAGTCCAATTTTCTTAAAACTTGTTAAATGCAAAAAAATAGGAGACTGAGGCACACTGAGGCGAATTTGAAAATATTGATTAATATCTTTAATGTCAAAGTCCCCATTTGAGAGATGAAAAATCATTTAAAAAAATATACTAATGGTCAATGGTAGAATAGGTATATTGATTGTGCTAAATAAAATAACTATTAAAAATCTAGGTGTAGGTATTATAAATTCTCTTTATGTTGACGTTGATGCAAGGGACATATTTTTCGCCTATAGGTGTATATTATAATTATCTATCATATGAAAAATTTTTAGATTTAATTGATTTAAAATGTATTAAGTAGGACTTATGGGCCCAAAGGCCTATTGAGCCCCCTGTCTCCCTAATAATGCCATTTTTTAAAACATATTTTATGTTTAATTTTAGTTTATAATCAAAAAGATTTATTTGACTAAAATGACAAAAAACGTTAAATAATTCATAATTTAAATTTATAGCATCATACCTTGGTATAAGATAGATGCAGTAGGAAAGTTAAAAGATAAATGCTACAAATTGCAGTATCGTAAAAATTAATTCCAGTTTATTTTTGAATAAAATTATAATTAACTATATATCATTAAGATAATTTTTTTTTACATTTATTTATTTCAATAATTTTATAATAGATATACAGAATAATACATTATAACTTATAAAAATATATCTTAAAAAAATCTTGTAAAGAACTAAACTTTCGCTTCGCTGCGCTTGTTCCTCGGAGAATAATATTCATTTCAACGAGTTTTAGCCTGAATAATAATTCAATTTTTATGTGTAATATAAATATATTAAATCAAAAGAGCATTATCAACGAATCTTAATCTCGAGTTTAAGAGAGCGGGAGCAACAAGACGAATGTTAGGGTTTATTTTGTATTTAGTTGTAAAATTAATAGAATATTTGATTTTTTTTATAAGGGAGTAATTGGTGACAATTATAGGAAAATACGATACCTAGGTTAAATAAATTAGTTAACTATAAAAAAAAATCATGCCGAAAATTGCAAAATAGAAAGAAAAAGGTTAAAAAGAATTAATACTTTAAAACTAAATACTTTTCAAAAATGGGAGATTTATATATTTTTTTTACAATTATTTAAGGCATAAAAAAAATAATTTATTAAGGCTCTAGTTTATTATGTATGCCGCATTTATTAGGTTTAAATTTCAAAAAACTTATGCGATCAAAGCATGGAAATAAATTGGAGTAGAATAATATAAAAAATCCTAGAAAAAAGGTAAAACAGTATACAAAAATGTAGAAAATTAGATAATTAGTTTCATTGTTTCTATTGATCAGTAACTGAATTATTGAGTGAGCTAAGCTTAAGATAATTTTTTCCCAGACAGTAAGTGATATTTAGTATTTATCTGCCAAATATTTCATTAGTCAGTTAAATGAAAAGACCGAATCTAGTTTAGTGTAAACGTAAAAAAAGTGCGATTAGATCCCCTATGTTGAAAATCTACATACGGGTTAATATTTCAAAAACTGTATATATCATAATTTTTTATTAATAATTTAAATTGATTTTATCCTTTAGAACGATGATTCGGCAAAATCCCGACAAAAAAAATAAATAAAATATAATAAGTCGCTAGACTTTGATAATATGAACCACAAACATTAAACTCTCACTGGGAAGGTGAGTGCATAGAAATAATAATGATAAGATAGTAACTCTAAAAATTTCCCAAAATTATCAGGATTTTATGACTTCAATCGTGGATCAGGGGATAATTTATTTATATTCAAGGTAAATCAAGGAAAAGAGGCAGGATAAAAAAAACGAGAAATAATATCTAGAATATTTAACTTTTAGATTAACATTGATATATCTCAGTCGCAGCAGAAAACTACGATCTATTTCTATTTTCTTAGGAGTAACACTCAAGGGAATACGTCGTTATAAAAATACATCATTATTGAAAAAACGGGATATTGATCATTATATTATTCTGGGTGAGGCAAGCTAAGGTTATAATTCGGTCAGGTTCGGCTAGCAGTCTTTTTTTCAAAGACAGAACCGCGAAACCGATTCAAAAAATTAAACAAAACCATGAAAAAAAATTTAACTGGGGATAGAGAGATTTTTTAGTGATTCTAAATATTTTTATAAAATAAAATATCATTTTGAAAATTTTAGCCTATTTACAAATAATAGGAGTAATAGAATATGATAAATACAATGACATAGTATATTTGCAACGACATATTATATTTAGTCTTTTTAAAAAAACCCGATTTTGATTTTTTTTTTCATAGATGGCAGAAAGATTTGGACCTCTATTTGCTAAATCTTGAGTATTATGTAATATTATTTTGGCTGAAATATTAATCGGGCAGTTTTTAAAAATCCATTCAAATTCAGCCTTTTGAACACTAATATTTATAATGTCATATTATATTACACAAAAGAGTTGTTAAATAATCGAGATCAAGGCATAGATAGTCATGGATTCTATCCTAATTTTGGTAATTTTCCCCGGAATGATTATTTTCTATTTGAGAATCGTGATCGAGATCATTATTGAATTTTTTACATTTTTATAAAATATATTTTAATTAATTTTTAAAATAAAATTAACTTATTATTTCATATTTTCATTTTCAGTATCCCCTATAATATAATAATCCATTACAATATAAATGAAACAGCGCGTACGCAGGATTTGGATCTGGGGGGGGGGGGGGGGTTAATAAAATTTTTTAAGAAATATTATTGTTAATTAAAAATACTAAGCATAAATTTATTAGGACTAATAACAATTTTAAACTAATGTGAATTAAAAAAATTATATATATAAACACCGGCATTGAAAAACTATAAAATAAATGTGAATTATAAAATATAAATTGAATATAACCCACGATATGAATCACTTAAATGACCCAAAATTGAAATTTGAATTTTTTGAGCTTTTAAAATATAGTATAAAAAATTTAAATGTTGGAAATATAAATTAATACACAAAAAGTTTCTTAGGAATAATTGTATTTTGTATGTTTTGAGCTAATTTTGCAATTATCTATCCTTGCTTGGCGTTAAATGCCTATGAATATTCAAAAGATTCAAATCATTCAATCTACTTTCAGATTTTGTATTTCATAGGTATGTTTTTCACAGACTTGCAGGCCCAGACCCCGAGCCGGACCGTATTTTAATTTTTTTAATACACGGGTAGGCCCGTAATTTTTTTTTAAAAAAACACCCGGGCCGGGCCTGAAAATTTTATTTTCAAAAAAGCCGGGCCGGAAAAAATTTTTACAAAAAATCTGGGCCATGTCCTTCAAATAGTACCTCTGCAAAGCTCTGTTATTCTTCTTAAAAAAGAGAATGTTCTCTCATTAGTTTACTAAAGAGCTGCTAATATATACACATATATATATAACCATTTTAATACATTGGGAGTATAATCTAAAATGTGTTTGAAATAATGCAAAGCATCCATAGCATCTTTTGGGACTGCATCAACCATAGTTAATCTTTAAATCAAAGTTATTCAGCTAATAAGGCATCATAAGATATTTTAACATCTTCATGATAAAAATCTAACAAATATTTATATTTTTTTTCTATCACCATATGAAAAAGGTTGGGAGAGGGGACATTTGTTTTATAATACTCTTCTAATGATATTATATTAATGTTTTGACGATGAGCTTGCTTGCTGCAAGTCGAGGTAACAAATATTAAAATCGTATACCTCTGCTTTTGAGTCAACAATAACATATAAAATATGAAATTCTTCATCAACATTAGCTCTAATTTCCTTGAGTTCTAATTAAATGCTCTCCGCTATTCTCATCTTCTTATTCAAGTCATTGTTATGCTTTTGAAAAGTATTACATAAAGTAGTTGTATAATTAAATAATACATTCTAATGAGAAAAAAAATTTGGAATAAGTATTGAATCCAATAATTTTGCTTCTGAGGAAATATTTCTTTCAAGCCATTGTGATATTTCAGTAATAGCATTAATATTAATCGGCTCTTCTAACTTCATAAAAGCTGTTACTGCTTGATGGCGGAGACTTGATCTCGTTGGACAAGCTTGCAATTTCTTTCTCCCTGTTGGACAAGGAGTTTCAGAGATAATTATTATTTGACTAGAAATTTAGATAAATATTACGCCACTAATTTTTTTTAAATAATAGGTAAATTACGCCAAGGAAAACTTGAAATCGAAATTAATTGATAAAATAACTTAGTAGATGAATGTGATAAATAAATGTAATTAAATATATATATGAGATAGTAATAAATATTAACATATATAAATTAATATTAACAATAATATTTTTGGAAAATATAATCCGGCATCTGCATTTTTTGGCTTTTGGGGGGGGGGGGGATTTGCCCCCCCCCGCTGCGTACACTAATGAAATGAAAACCTTCTACCCTTACCTTAGCTTCAAAGCTTCAAAAGTATTTTACCATGTTAGTAACGAAGATCAAGCTTAATTGGCAGTATATAAATCTGTCACAGAATAAACTGTTAAAGGAAAGGGTTATAACATATTTGGAAAACCAACTTGATCAACCTATTTGCGTTTCAATGATAATTTGGGGGAAATAGAAATTTTGGGATTAGTATTTAACAAAATACTATAAACCTTAATAACTTTTTTTTCAACTGATGAATCAATTAATATATTTAATGCCTATGCAATTAAAAAAAATATTTATTGAATATAATACCCTATTACCCCAAAGCGCTCATGTGAAGTGCTTGTTTATTAAGCAAAACACGTTCTTAATGAAAGACATGGGTGTCTAAATGATATAGTATTTTATAATTATAAAATTGTAGTTATTAAAGCCAAGGGCCTAGCGTCATATTTACAAATGGTGAATAATTTTTTTTTATAAATAAAACCATACAAGATATTGAGATTTATAACTAAGCAGATATTTCATTGTGTTAAGTAAAATATTAAAGCACTCAAATATATTAACAATTTTGACTCATCTTGTTTCTATTAGTTTATTCTTTAAGATGAAAAATCCGCTGTGTACTTATGATTTGAGAGTCAACAATTGGATTATAAAAATCATTGAAAAAATATATGTATGATCAATAAAAGGACCTAACAAGCCTATTAAAATGTGGGCCAATATAAATCAGCTGGTGTCCTGCCAATTTGGTTGCACATGTAAGAAATTTACATTAAAATTTTGTGAAAACATTTTTAAAATAATTATTATATAGGAAAGCAAAATAGCTTATCACCAGCAGATTTAAATTCAACGCTTCATAATGCATCATCGGTCTAGATAAGTATTATATGTCATTGGATATCATACAACAATAATAATATTATTTTTTATCATAAAATAATAATTTCAATTAGATTTGATATATCATCACTAGATATCCACTTATGAACCATGACCTAATACGCAAGATAGATTGTATTATTTATCTTCATAATCATTTCACTTTGCTACTTAATCATCTTTTAACAGCAATTGTTCAGAAGGAAAAGTTGATTGAATTGCCGACTAATCCCTATGCCAGCTAGTAAAGACAAATAAGGGAATCTAGTAATATCAAAGTAATATGCAAAGGAAAAAATTAAAATATGATATGGAACAATTGTGTCCTATTGAAATAGCTGTTCATCAGAATAGTGATTTTTAAAACTCAAAATAATAATAAGAATATGTTTTAAAGATATGATAACCGTTTATCAAGATTTATATATATATAAAATCAGTGTCCAACCTGCTTTTCTGAATAGATTTCAGAATTAAGAACCAAAATTATTAGACTAAGACCACCCTTATATTCAAAGTAACATTTTAATATTTTATCACAGTTTAAGCTTATGTTGCCCGTTTAGTGTCATTAATAATGGAAATTATTGTTACGCGTATACAATAATATAACAATAAAAAGTGGGGATACGTTTTGTGTATGAATGAAACTTGATTCCAAAACCTTTTGATATTGTTTATATATATTCAATAATCATAGAAAGTTAATATATAATCTTCCACCGGTTCAGACTGAACTTAACCAAGTACCGTTTTCAAAAACAAAACCATTAAAACGATAGCAAAGATATCTCAACCGTTCAGTTTGAACCGCTATACATGCCGAGAAAACAACCGTTAACTAACAGTAGATCAGACGCTGGAGCAAAAAACAAAGAATGGAACGTGATAGGGCGTATAGGAAACTATGATAAACTAATAAAATAACTGGTAGAGACTTTATTATATTTAATTCATAGTTAATTCAAAGTCAATAAGATATAATAATTTATACATTCAAGATGTATAAATAATAATCAATTTCTAAATGTTCATTGTTTTTTAAATAATAATGCTCATTTAATACAGGCATAAGAAATTGGTAGTTCAAGCATTGATAATGAATAAAACTTGGCTATTTACAGAGAAAGATGATTTAATATAGAGAAAGGAAACGATTTCCTGTAAACAAAAGATTCAAATTTAAGAGTATTAGAGAATAACTTACATAATGTTTAGAGACTGGTAGTTCAAATGAAATAATTGCTTATTTATATTTTCTAAGCTGAATAATATATATCTGTATATCTTATAAATTAGATAATAAAATACATATAATGCTCTGACCTTTGGTTTGTCATATCTATGATTCTAAATAAATTTGAATAATAAATATAGATATTTTAATTTGAATACCCATAAATATGGTATTAATAAAATCAAAGAAGGATTTAAGTTCTAATTTGATAAATCAACAATTAATAAAAATTAGAAGGGCGGCAAATAATTTGGTTAAAAGTATAGAATATAAAAAATTCATAAAACAAATTTGAAAAAAATTTGGCTATTTTTCTCAATCATGGATGATTTCTATCATATGAGATGTTACAAATGCGATCAAACAATTAACGTTAATGAGATAATTGATTCGAAACTCACTACCTTAGGTTTTTAATTCTTTTTACAAATTAATAATAATATGAAGTATAAAGATGAAACTCATTACACAGAATCAAACAAATATCCACTGCCAGTTGAAGTGATATATTTATAGTATTAATTTTATATATTATTTAGGTGTTCACCCGACTCAATGATATATTAAAAGGGTATGTAGAGATAAATTATCCTTTGTGCCATGTAAATAACAAATTAAATACTTTCTTAACACTATTTAGGAATGTACTGACACTCTTTATGAACAACTTACATATGAGTTGAGTGATATTGAAAAGGAAATACAATTATATAATAGTGTTATTAAAGTAATTGATGAACATGAAAACCCACATATTGAGATAGATGATAAAAAACTAAAGATAGAAGAAGAAGATGAATCTGTCTTGAATAAAGTTTAATAAAAAAATACTATATATAGGAAAATCCATTAGCAAATTTTTTGAACAAAATTTTTTATAACATAATTAAAATGTAAATTTATTTATACAAAATGAGTTAAGTCATTACTCACTTAATAGTCTTATGATTAAACTTATAAATATAAACAATCAATTTAGTTATTGCAAATTTATTTTATTTAGACTAAATTAGAGGAAGAAGAACTTAATAAAAAATTGGAATTATTAAAAATTGAATGCCAGAAACTTGATAATGATTACAAAAAAGCTATAGAAGAGAGTGAAAAATTGACCCTTATGGAGAAACAGTTCTAAGAATTACTTAATTATGAATTTTATTATTATTAGGTTGAATGAAGAATACAATCAAGCCAAATATCAAACAAATGCAGAAGAAACTGAAATGAGAAGGTTTTATATTTATTATCTTTTTTATATATTTTTAAATTTGATGACATATGATCATACAAATAATATAGTAATTATTCATAGTATATAAAACAATAATCAAATGACAACAATATCTTCTTTTTTTAAATTATAGGTTAAGTTTTAATCTATTTTAAACACAAATTTATTTATATTAGCCTTCAATATCAACTTGATTACTTGGAAGGTGAAATTGAAAAATGGTCAAAAATTGATCCTATAACCTCTGTTTTTAATATAAAGTATATATATTTGTTAATAAAATTTACAGGAAAAAAATCCACACAATTAATAGTGCTCCCCCCTCTTTTCCTTTTAGCAAAATCCTGGCTATACTTATAAACATGAACTAAATAGGTTCTAGTTATCAATACTTAATAAAAAACAGTTTTGATTCCTGAAGGTTTTATAAAGAGGTTTAAGTTAATAGATTTGACTATTTATTTGTTCTAACCTGGTCAGTTATTGTAAGGTTTCACTTTCTAGATCTTTTATGGTTCCAACTCTCCTCAAATTATTTTAAGTTAAAAATAATATATTGCTGGAGGTAATGTATAGACGTCCTACAACTTATTTAAATATTTAAGATAACTTTGTTTTTAGCAAAATTTTTGTTATTCTATCAGCTTAATTTTCAAGCATAGCTTATTTTAAAAATCGACAAAATCGAGCTGTTTAATAGATATAGCAATGCTTGCTTAAATTGTGTTGTTTATTTTAAAAGGTTTGAAAATCACTTTGGCATTATTAATGGATATCGATTGGGGAAAATTTCAGGCATGCAAAATTGCAATGTTCCATGGAACGAAATAAATGCCGCTTGGGGTCAAACGTTGCTCCTATTGAATTCTTTATCCAATAAATTGGGATTTAAATTCAAAAAGTAATCATTATTATTAGGGGTGTACCTATACCACTTTTTGGAGGCCAATCCAATCTGATATATCCAATATTAAATTGGTATCAGCCTATTACAGATCCGATATTATATCTAATTTTGTATTCTTAAAGATATCAATGGTTTTAATTTTTAATATACTTTTTATTAGTATAACATCTATATTTTAACTATACCATAACTTATGTCATTTAAATATATTATAATGATCAGTTATAGTTTATATTCAATTCAATTGTAATTTTAAAAGTATATAAAATATTTTTATTGTTAAATCACTTTTATATAACAAATAATACATTAATCTATATACATTAAGTAATAAACAAATTTATATGAAATTTGAAATAAATATTTAAAATAATATTTAACATTAATATATCGAAGATTTCTTTTTAGAAATACCAAAATTTCCAATTTATCAGAGGTCAGCCTGCGGTGATGGTAACTGTCAATATCACCAGCTTCACTAAAAACTGATTCTGAAGATATTATCGCACACTTTTATAAACAGAATGCGCAAAAAAATAACACTATGGCAGAATGTTTATTAATTAATTATTATTATTAAAAAAATATACATAGAAATGGATTTCGATTTTATTTATAAAAATAAATGATTTTTGATTAACATTTTTAAAAATTTTTACATTTTATTTTTGTTAAAAAGGCCATTTTATAATGGATCGGAAAATTTTTTAATATTGGCCAATAACTGATATTTTAAAATGGGTGAAATATCGGCCCGATCCGAACCGATAAAAAATATCGGTGCATCCCAAATTATTATATTAGATTGTATTTATTATAAATTTGATAATATTATTATTTCCCACAAATTAGTTACAACTCGAAATTATTTTCTAAATAAAGGTGAAATCTAATTCTAATCACGTTTGCATAACAACCTTGAATGAGACTCCCCCATTTTACTAATTTAAATAAATAATTGACATAGCATCATAATTGTTTAAATTTAAAAGATACGAATTAGTGCCGTTAAGTATCCATTCATCCATTCGCGTATACGAAGATTTCAGTGCCTCTCACCTAGATAAAACGCAAAGGGCAATAAACAGTAGGTTACTACCCTTGTATTATACTGGAGGGTTTAAATTTTTTTGGGACACCAAATTTGATCAAGCTATGCTAGCTTTTTTGGAATGCGTTTCACAGGTATAAATCTTTCTTATTTATTTGTTTGGAGGGGGGATTTTCTCACTATCGATACATTTACAAAAGCAAATAAATTATATTTGAATTTGAAATTAAAATTAAAATATTGTTGTTATTCGAAAAATATAACTGTTACGATCATTATTTTAATTGTTACACAAAAACTTTAAATTTTGTTAATAGATTAAAAAACGACTGCAATTTATTTTTCTACTTTGTTTTATTTTTCAATTTCATGTATATTAAAAAACAATTATATTTTACATCTTCGAATTTCTTATTATTAAAAAAACATTTCTATGTTACATATTATTTTTTTAACTCTTTTTTTTAATAAATACAAATAATAATAATAGCATATATAATTTATAAAAAATACACAACACCTTCATGATTTTTCAGAATTATATACTTCAATTACTAAATATATATAACAAAAACTACATATCTAACAATATTGTACTGAAATTTAAAGCATTATAATATAATTGACCATGTTCATTTGTTCAGATCTTGAATTACCATATCCTTTAGAATTTTCATCCTGGGTCCCCTGAATATTCCTCTGCAATACTCCTGGTCTTTGGACCGTCTTCATCATGCTAGTAGGGCGTCGGAGGGATAGCGGATTACAGTGGACCAATTTGAGCTTTGATGGCATAATCGATTTCCGTAAATTTATCGGTTTTCTAGGTATCTGAAGAATTGTCCTCTCCATTATTATAAGTCTAGGAAAAGATCTTTGTAGTATCCGCCTTCTATCATTGATGAAATATGAAAGTGTCTATTCTTGCTGGTTGCTTGGACAATAACTTACTTTGTGTCCATTACCGCCACAGGTATAGCACGTAATCTTCATGCTAATGATAATATTGTTGTGTATTTTTTTTATATTTGTTTATTATATATATTATTATTTGTATTTATTAAAAAAATATAGTATAAAATATAATATGTAATATCTAAATTTTAATAATGTTTTTCTAATATAAGAAATCGAAAAGATAAAATAATTCATTCTGAAATTGAAAAATAAAACAAAATAGAAAAATAAATTGCAGTCGTTGATTAGTCAAATATCACCAAAATTCTTCAAAATTAAGCGGAAAGGTGCATTGATCCTTTCCTCATTTTCCTAAACACTGAGACAATTTTGGCTAATGGTCTTGATTGATAGCCATATAAAATTAGAATATTCCTGCAAAACTTCTTTTGATATAGAAAGAGGTATCCTATTTTATAACAAATAATTAATTTCAATATTATTTGTAAGTATAAATATATATAATTTTATAATAATAATGCGCCAGCTTGCGGATTAATATTAAAGAAGTTAATTTAAAATATTTTTCATTGAAGTTTTATTTAATTTAACAGGCAAAAATTGTTTATACTAACAAATTTTATAATATTTTTTATAAAAATGAATTAATAATAATGATAATATAAATTTATAAAATAATCAAAAATTCGATTTGGTAAATAATACACCATAATTTAGGAATCATTTGATTACTATAAATAATCTATTGATATGTTAATATTTTTATCATAATGTAACATATTTTCCCCAATAGGGTTGCTTGAATTAGTTCATTTTTGAACGCTATAGGCAACCTAGGGAAAAATCAAAAAAAATAATTTAGACCATCAACTCTATTCTAAAAGTCTTAGATTACATAACGTTTCCTTTTTAAATAATTAATATTTTATTGTACATTTATAGCAGACATTCTATACTAACAGCTGGCAATTAAGCTCAAAATATATATTAATCAGTTAAAAACCATTTAAAAAACTAATTTGACAATACTTAAGGATTGAAAAATATTTTTTCTTTACCACCTGCACCTAGTGTTGTTAAACAGCTCATTTTGAGCCTATTTTTTAAAACGGCTAATTCAATATTTTAGCCAGAAAAATATTGCCTAAGCCTCGAGATTTCGATAATATATGCCTATACCTTTGTTCCTTCTATGAACAAAATCTTCAGGCTTGCGTAATATTTTTCTGAATGAAATATTGAGTTAGCCGTTTTTAAAAATCGGCTCAAAACGAGCCGTTTAACAACACTACCTGCACCTATAGCTTCATAGTATATAACAAGCTAACTCTTAATTAAAACTATTAACAACACATTATCTAGGAAATAAAAATACACCACTCACATTCACTATGTATAATTAATTATTCTGATTCCATCTACAACAAAACACTCAAATAATCCTACTCCAATATTTTTGTTTAAGACTCAAAGTAACAAACTTCTCAGGTATTAAACCATCTTCTCATCATTAGCATGAAAGGAATCTGGCCAATTTGTCATAGACTTATTAATTTAAAAAAAGATGACCATCTATACAAACATGGCCCCATGCTCTCCCTTGCTCAGGTTCTAATACACAAAAGGCCAACTACTCCGTTTACTTGGTCGATGTTATTATTTTCCATGCTGAAGAGAGATCATCCAGTACACAGGGTACTGGAGGACCCTGAGGCCATGCAAGGCCATTCTTAATGTCGTTTATTCAGTTAATCATATATTTATGTATTAATTATAAACGGCGAGGCTATGTTCAATAGCAATACTATGTATATAACAATCATTATACCATGTAATCAACAAGACTATACGTATTGTCGTGGGGTGCGAACTTAGTTTTAACTATGGAAAAACAAAGAGTTAATCCGTAAGGTAACGCAAGGATAATTTATTTTAATTTTAAGAAATTCGTAAAAAGTAAACAATTATCCTTGCGCAGCCTATTTATAGGCATAAGACCTTACTTCTCCGAGTGGATGATTTGGTTCGGTATTTGTTTTTCCCTAGTATAAGGCTGAAACTGATAGGTCGCTATTATCATAACGTACCGTTTCCAGTGGATCTATCGATCCTAATTTGACTATCGTCGAGTGATTTTACAATTTATTAATTAAACTTGTTATATAATAAAAGAATCTATATAGTTATATATTAGTATTAAAGTGGGGTAAGGGAGCGTTCCTCGAGGGTCGTATGTTCCTCGCAGGCTAAAAGGTAGGCCTAAAACGAATTATTTGTTATTCGATTTGATTCGATTCGAAAATTCGAATTTCCAAAAATTAAAACAAAACTGGTACTAGTTACTTAGTAACTAAAGCTTTCTTATGAATATTTAGAAAAAGTATTCGTCGAAAAGTAAATTTTTATTATTCGATTCGAAATTATTCGTGTTATTCAAAATTATTTATAAATATTCGTTAATATTCATAATTTTTCGTAAATATTTTATTTTTTCGTTAATATTCGTAGTAAGTAAATAATAAATTAAATTAAATTTTCCTAGTGGATTTCATTTCATTTTACTTAATTTTTTTCCTCTTATAAATCATATGTTATATTTTGTTTGATGCCCCAATAAAGTAAATTATTTAAATTAATTTTATTTATATATTTGTGAAAAAGAAATATAATTTTCTAAGAGCTAAAATTTTAAGTTATGATTTTTTGGGTAGTAAATTTCAAAATGGACAACTACAAAATTAATATAAAATTGTCAAAATAAGAAAAGATTGATTTAACCCTTCACTATACAGGTGGAAAAACTCTAATAGTTTCTATTTTACTCCAAATTTTAAATAGCTACATCTTAGATAACAATAAAATTTAAGACCTAAAATTTTACACAATTATTGTAAAATTATAGGAGATAATAAATACAAAATTTCTATATTTCGATTTATTTCTAAATAAAGTTATAATATTTTAACTAAAGTTGCACAAAAAAAAATCCTTAGTGAAGAGTAGAAAGCATAATAAAATGCTTATACTTTTTTGGTATGTGTAAGATACTAATGTCATATTATCTTGAAAGGCAAATAAGCTTGAATAAATATCTTTCTTTTTAAAATTAAATGATGTTGGAATCTGCTTTTTATGTTTTTCTTAAGGTTCCTACTATAGTTAATGAATGGGAATTTAACAATAACAAATGTTTAGCAAGTTCATATCTGGTAAACTAGTTATCTGTGATGACACATATATTAGTCTTAGACAATTAGTATTTCAAGCACATCAAAAGGTTGATTGCAGGTTTGACCTGCCACTTTATAGATGAAGTCATTGTTATTAGATATAGTACCATTTACTGATTCACATTCTGATGAAAATATACATGGAGAATTTTCTCAAATTATAAAAAAGTATAATATAGATATTAGTAACATGGCAATTACTTGTGATAATGCAATATTGAATTTAACCTTTATAAAAATTCTTCGTATAAAACAACCAACTTGTAAAATTTTACATGTACGATGTTTTGCTGTACTTAATTTGGTAGTACAAGAAATACTTAAGAAAGTAGACAGTCAATTAACAAAATTAAGAACACTCATTAAAGCTATTCGTAATTCTTTTATAAAAACAAATATTATGAAAAATGTATGCGCTTCCTTACTTCCCCCAATGAAATATCTTAAATTAAAATTAGACACATCCATCAGATGAAATAGATGGGAAGGGCCATTGATGAAGTTGTGACTCAGATATATGATGATATAGATATAGAAGAAAGACAACTGAGTGAAGTATTTTAATTGGTTTAGGTAAATACAACATAATCTTTGTAATACAAAACCTAGTAGATATTCTGACCTGGTTTTTACAGTAGTTTAATATTTGTAACAAGGAATACAACTTCCAAATTTCATGATTATTGATTTGACAATTTTTGGGATATATGTAATTTGTCGAACTTGGGGTAAAATATTCCCCACCTGTGTAATTACATAATTTTTTTTGCTACTAATTATGATTATATATGGCAGGTTAATATATAAAATTGATTTTTTTTTATTTATTTCTATATTTTGATTGATATATATGACTTAAATTGAACATATGATTTATAATTTAAATTATTCTAATGAAAGTAATTCTATAACAATTATATAGGTAATGGATTTTGAATCAAGTGATGATAATTTTTTATTAGATAGAAATCACAATTCAGAGATTGAGGAATCACAGAGATATGTTTGATAATTTTAATGAAAACTGTAAAAACTCTTATAGTGTTGGACAATATGTTGCAATTGATGAAATGCTTCCAGCTTTTAGAGGGAAAATCCCTTCAAGCAATACATGCCAAATAAGCCTTCAAAATAATTTATGGCCTAGTGGATTCAAGAATTTTTTACTCTTTAAAAATAGAATTATATGCTGGCAATTATAAATTGAACAATAAACCTTTTGATGTGCTTGAAATACTAATTCAACCAATTTCTAAGACTAATATATATATGTCATCAAGTTAACTAGTTTACCAGCTATGAACTTGCTAAACATTTGTTATTGTTAAATTCCCATTCATTAACTATAGTAGGAACCTTAAGAAAAAATAAAAAGCAGATTCCAACATCATTTAATTTTAAAAAGAAAGTTATTTATTCAAGCTTATTTGCCTTTCAAGATAATATGACATTAGTATCTTACACATACCAAAAAAGTATAAGCATGTTATTAAGGATTTTTTTTGAGCAACTTTAGTAAATTTACTTTTTTGGGGCATCAAACAAAATATAACATATGATTTATAAGAGGAAAAAAATATAGTAAAATGAAATGAAATCCACTAGGAAAATTTAATTTTATTTATTATTTACTTACGATTTACGAATATTAACGAAAAAATAAAATATTTACGAAAAATTATGAATATTAACGTTATAAATAATTTTGATTATTACGAATAATTTCGAATAACACGAATAATTTCGAATAACACGAATAATTTTGAATAACACGAATAATTTCGAATAATAAAAATTTGCTATTCGACGAATACCTTTTCTAAATATTCATATTCGATTCAAATTTTCTAATCGAATAATTGTGAAATTCGTATTCGTAAAATACGAATCGAATCGAATTTCGAATAATAAATAATTCGTTTTAGGCGTACCCATTAGATATCTCATTACAAAATACTTTTAAAGTAGTAATTTTTCTTAACTTACTTTATATCTAAAATTTAAATAATAGCAACTTGCCAAAGTATAGCTTTATATCTATATTTTAAATAATAGCATTTAAAGCAAGGTTGGCAAGTCGGTCATTTGACAGAAGGAGTATTTGACCTGGTCAAATACGGTCAAAAACTCTAAAATGTTATTGGTGAATAACTGTATTTATTTAATGAACTAATATGTATTTAAAGAATATTTATCTATCTAATTTATTTACAAATTATTTTAAAATATATTTTTTATCATCTAGGCATCGATTTAATTATAATTTTATATAAAAATATAATATTTTCATATTAAAATATTAATAATTTTTTTCATTATTAATTTGATTGAATCTAAATATAAAAATTTAACTTAAGCATAGTTTGAGAAAATTGCTAATTGCGAATTTATATTACATTATGTACAATTATCCAAACAAGATAAGCATCACCAATTAAATATAATGAGCAATAACAAATATGCAACAAAGCTCTGAAAGCAGCTGTTGAAGAAGTTGGATAATTTTCCGAGAGAAATTACCAATAATATATAATATATTAAATTATATATTTTGGACAAAAAATTTAAAATTTTAAACTATTCATAAAAACATTTAGCTATCTTGACCTTGGTTCACGTAAAAAATGAGATGCTTAATTTATAAAACACATAATACAATCATGTCCATGATTTTTTAATTTTCCAACCTAAAGAAAAAATATTAAAGATTAGTTTTAAAAAGAAAACATCAAATACATGTGATCACCCTCCATTGCTGATTATTGATCTTCAATATAAGGGCCATCTTACTTGTGTTTGATGAAGCATATGACATAATACAAAAATTAGTCGTTTTAAAGAGATAATCATCAAAATATTTTAAGTGATATCATAAATTCCAGAAGTAAAAGCGGCGTATAGCCAAAAAGAAACCAGTAACTTTCATAAAAAAACAATCAGATTTTGGGCTCAAGTTGTATTGGGCTTTGTTCACTTTTAATATTAAGAGAAATGTCTAAGAAATCAGATTGAAGATATCGACAACCAGAAAATTGGTGGGAGTATATCATAACCTAAGATTGATTAAAAAATGTTAAAGAAAATAAGATTGAATATAAATTAGAACAAGGTTCTGCCATGGAGAGCGAAACATTAATTATAGAATTTAAAAAATAATTTAATATACATACATTTTTTACTATTATATATAAAATAGAATTAATAATATCCTAAAAATACATTTATTTGAATTTGACCATATTTGACTGGTCAAATATCGGTCAATTGACCGAATCTTATTTGACCGGTCAAATGCACAACCCTGATTTAAAGTGATAATCTTTTTTTACTTACTTTATTTTTAAATGTTAAACAATAGCAGCTTGCCAAAGTATAGGAGTTAGACCCAGTAGATATCTCATTACAAAATGCTTTTAAAGTAATAATTTTTCTAAATTGTGGTTTAATTAAATATTCAAATTTTATTTATAGATGATACATTTTGGAGCAATATTTTCGTCATATGCTTCATTTTCTATCATGATTAAAGAATATGAGCAGCCAGGCTTAGTTAATTTATATGTTGCAAGGTCTACCTTGTTAAAAGCTCCTCACCCTGAAGAGATCATAAATCTTTTTAAATATCAAAAGGTTTATTATTCTTCTAAATATGGGGGCTCCATACAAAAAAAAATCGCTCAAGAAATATAAGGAATGCCTCAACATTCCGTAAAATGTCCTCATTTAAATTTACAGTTTGCCTTAAACACAAGGACAAAGTCACACGTGTACTTATGGTTTTGTCTTGTCGCCACATATTAGCACTTCATGCTGCCGTAAAATTAGATATTTATCTTAGTCATCTCTGTGGAGAGAAGTTGATTAAAAAATATTCACAGGATAGCTCAATAGTGTCGCCTGAAGATTTTCCTATATCTCAGTCATATTTAAACATTTCCCAACATCATGATTTTTCATGAACAAAAAATTTATCCACCAATGAAAAATTTAAACAAGTTCAATGAATATTGATGCCTTTCATGTTTAACATCTCAGCTTCCTTAAGAAATTGATATATATATCGAAAAACCAAAAAAAACTTGATAGTATAGTTCAAACAGAAAAATATTTTGTTGTCATTGAGATCAGGGTATCTTTCCCAATCCCATAGTTATTCCAAAGATAAACATTATATAAGGATCCTGTGTATATTTTTTAGTCCACCTCTCTCCAAAGATAAATATCCAATTTCAAGGCAGTATGAAGTGCTAATATGTGGCAACAAAGCAGCTTTATGCAAGTCAAAAAACCACATGTACACGATTTTAGTGTGACTTTGTCCTTGTGTTTAAGGCAAACTGTAAATTTAAATGAGCACATTTTACGGAATGTTGAGGTATTCCTTAATTTTTTTGTATGGAGCCCCCATATTTACAAGAATAATAAACCTTTTGATATTTAATAAGATTTATGAGCTCTTCAGGATGAGGAGTTTTAACAAGGTAGACCTTGCAACATATAAATTAATTAAGCTGACTGCTCATAATCTTTATTCATGCTAGAAAGTGAAGCATACGAAAATATTACTCCAAAAAGTATCTGCTATAAATAAAATTTGAATATTTATTTAAACCACAATTTTGAAAAATTATTACTTTAAAAGTATTTTGCAATGAGATACTGGGTCTAACTCCTATACTTTGGTAAGTTGCTATTGTTTAAAATTTAGAAATAAAGTTTAGAAAAATTATTACTTTATTCTGTAATGAGATATCTACTGGGTCTAACTTCTATACTATGGTAGTTCTCCCTATTATTCGATTTATTTCTCAAAAAATGGAAACAAACATATTTTAAAATATAGTGGGTTATCATGTGAAAATGAATTGTCATGTGATAAAATGTTATTATATCACGGGCGTTAGCTCTAGTCACGGTCTAAATTTAAATATAGATAAAAATGGCAAGTATCAGCTAATACTATGAATGACGGGTCAATTTCCAATATTTGGTATCGGAGCTTTTTTATGGTTTAAGAGCTTATTTTAATTTTTTTAGATGTCCGAAGAACTTGAAAGGAGGGATGATCAATTTAAACTACCTTACAAAATTGACAAAGGACGTCTTTTAGAACCTGCCACTTCCATTTTTTATTCTATCAAGTTTTTAAATTTTTTATATTATCTTTGTAGAGTTATTTTGGCAAAAAAAGGAAAAGGAATAAGGTGTTTAAAATAAACATTTAATTTAAATGGATTATTATTTAGATGACATGCAATATTTAACAGCTGATCGAGTGTATGAAATCCTTTTTTTTGATAGATGAAATTAATAAATGTAAGATTTTTATAAATTTGATCAGAAATCGCGTCCAATGTTAAAAGAAGTCTTTAGCACGCGGAAGAGTAATTCAGGCTTGGTGAAAACGTGCCTCTTATCTGGCAATGCCAAAGCCTTTTATTTTTATTGCAATAATGAAAATATTTTTATTTTAAATTTTATACAGAGCTCAATTTAATTCGGAAGAAAATTGGACGAAAGCATTAAAATATACCCTGACCAATATGCAATGGCTGCAAACTTGCATAATATCATCATATTAATTAATTGTGTTTTTTTTATAAACCAATCAAATTACCTCGAATTAATTTTAATAATTTTTATTGTTGTATATTAGTCTCTTGCGTAGCGAATATAATATAATAGATGCATAATTAATTTTTTTATATATATTCATAAATAATGTCTCATAAACGGCTTGAATTTTAGTGCGATCTAATTGCGCGTTCAAAAAAATAATATGATCAATTTGCACAATACCATTTGAAATGCATTGTTTGCGGTTTTCATATATAAACGCAAACGTTCAATTATATCGCACTATTATAAAATATTTTTTTTCTAATATTTAAATTTGATACTTCTTTTAATGAAAATTATTATTTTTTAAAAAAAATTAATATTGGATTGAATAACTTCATAGTATCAATGATATAGCAACTCCCACTTCCCCCTATATAAAAAAAAACATTGATATAATTTTACTGCATGAAACTTAAAATTATTGCAAAGTATACAAAGTTATTACGCAATTTAAACAGATCATAACTGGAAGTATTTTATAAATTGAATGATAATGTTAAAATTTATTCGTAATTTATTTTTATCATTAGATGGGGTTTAGTTAGCTCATCCAACATAAACTTTGCAATATTCTAGTTTTACGAACATGATCCTTGCACCTCATTCACCATCTATCTTAACATTCTCAATTTCATTATAGACAAACTTCGCCCCTCCTTTTCAGTGCCCATGTCTTTAATCCGTAGAGGATGGTAAATTATATCTGATTTATATACTTTGCTCTTTGGCAGAGGACATATTTTTGTTACCTATAATACCCTTTGGACTTTTCCATTTCTCCCATCACGCATGTATCTTTGATTTAATTTCCCTTTTTATGCCTCCCTCTAGTTGTATTGTGGATCATAAATATTTATAACCATCTATTGATATCATAAGTCTTTATATATGCCATTTTATCCCGAGAAACTCTGATATAGAACATTTATTATACAACATGTCGTCTGATGTAGCAAGCCGTTCATACATGTCATATTTTCGATGGTATTTGGAAGCCATTGTGAAATTATTGACATAAATATAAAGAGTTTAGACAATGTGCTCCACATCAAAGATCTGCAAAGTCCGTCTATTAGAATTCTTGCACAAATTACCCGACCTGAAATTTCTATTTTACCTGCCTGCCAAGATTAATGACAATAAATATTAAACTATTCGTAGCTCACAAATGCGAATATTAAATCGCGTATTAAATAATGTGAGAAAATTTGATTTTATATATATATTGTGGAGCAAATAGGTTATTAATATATTGAATGCCTACTGATTATATTTCGCATTAAAGGTGGAACTGAAATCTTATATCATGCCTTAAGAATTTACACCCAACACCTACAGACTCATGATAAATTGATTACACTTCAAAAATGCCTTTAATAGCTTGTATTGTGATACCTTTCTGAAGTCTTTTTATGTAATTTTTCTTGGCTACGCTAATTTATCTATTAATCATGGGATCATAACACCCCTTCTGTACAAGTTCCATTACCCCATTGGATCCCGATACGCTTTGCCTTAAAGTCTATAGTTGGATAGCTGTCAAATTTTATAATGGTACTTAGTTGACCCACTCATTTGTGGTCCGTCAATAAATGCACTCAAAGTCTTACACTATCTGGAGAAGAACTTCTCAAACATGAGCCCCTTATACTTAATATAAATTTGTTTTTTAGATAGCAATCCTGACAGAATAAATTGACCATGCTCGGCCTCCCTTTGAAAATAAATGTTATAGGAAAAATTCATAAATAAAATTTCCCATAATTTTTATAACATGTTAAACATTTTTGGCTCATCAATCTATTTTTATTTCATACAATATTTAATTTTTTACAAATCTTCATCATTATTTCTAAATATGGATTTCTGCAAAAAATTTTTAATTGGTCACTAATGGCCTCAAGTGTCTTTATAGTCAGGAAAGTCACGACGTCGAGTAATAGAAACACATTCCAAATCACTAGGAATCATACAATCTGTATCCCGAGGAAGGCCTAAGATCAATGGGCCTAATTATAATCGGAATCAGAATTTTTTAAATAAGGGATTATACGTGTGTCGTTAGCGTAATTTCCTTCAAATATCAACTCCAATCTTCATATTTTAGTCAAAGCAAATAAACAGAATCTTGATAATTTCTTACTAGGGAAACATCGACAAATAATCATTTTTTCGCTTACTTTTATATTTTTAAAAACTAGGCCACAAAATCAAAAACTTAACAAGTAATTTATATTATTGAAATTATTTGTAGATATAAATATTATTGCTTTGTGAACATAATTAACCATTATATAGTTTTTATTTTTTATCTATATTTCCATTATAATTCTTATATATATTTTTTAAATGTGATATTATAAATTACTTTAATAAAATATTTAATGAAAAAGAATAATCTTATAATATTTATTAATAGGTTTTTACCAAACAAAGAGCCCTAGTTACAACCACAAAAACGACTTTCACTAATAATTTTTTTGAAATAAAGGATACTATAGACGCGTTTTTTAAATCTAAAAATACTCCAATTTTGATAATTTTTCTTATACTAAAAATATTTATATAAAATTAAATACTGCCTTTCTCTTAATTGCTAGTGTTCAAAATTTATACTTTCTGATCGTCGCTCTAGACTGGGAATGATAGTATAGAAATGATTTTTTTATCAAAATGCAACAAAATAATTAAAAAATGAATATTACCATAAATATTTATTTTTATTACATAAATTTTTTATAATCAAAACTAATTATATTTAAATATTTATAAATGTTGATTTTTATGTATTATATACTATACAATTACATTATAAGTAAAAAATAAAACAAATTTATTCTAATTTTTTTTACAAAAAGCAGGCTAAAAAGTAGCCTAAGCTACTTTCAAAAAATAGTAGCTAATAGCGCTTTACTTTTTTTGATAATACTTAAAAGTAGGGTTTAACAACTCTGATTAAAAATCACAAGTAATATCTATATCGTCGACATTGTTATAAGAATTTAATTGCTTAAATAAAAAAACTAATTTTCCTGCCTTTTTCTGTTTATAACCGATTCCTAAGTTTCGAATGAACAACTCTAAACGATGAGAATACTCTCGACTGAAGCGGATGATGAAGATACAGTAAATAGTTGTTTTATTATTTTTAGAATATTCACATCCTTTATCAAATTATCTTGGGCTACCCACCATTTAATTGGGTCTATTTTATTTACTATATTATCCGAAAACATATATTTAGTAAATGGCTCTGATCTTGTTTGAAACTTTACCAAGATAGATAAAATGTCAGTGTTTGGATACAGAAGTCCCCCGTATTCCATTGCCGTTTCCATATCATTGGTTGTTAAATTTGAACGATATTTCGGATTTAGAAGGTAGGATAAGAAATGTACAAGAGTTAAAGCTTGATTGTATCGTTTAGATAAGGATGAAAGTTGATTACTACTTATTTTTTATTAACATGTAAATTGTGAAAAACGTTTGCGAATTCTTTCAGCCATTAAGAGTTTTAAATTGGGTTAATTCTTAACCGGTTTAGAAATAGCATAGCTAATTTTAGTTTGGGAAAATTAAATTTCATTTGGCATTTTTATTTGAATCAGAAAATTCAACTATAAATTTATAGTAAATTTAAAATAAATTATATATCAGCGGCTCTTTATTTGGAAAAATAATCTCAAATTACAACATTATTTAATTTTCAACAATTTCCTAACCTGTTCCCTTGAACATTAGTCCTTTACTTGCAAGATAATATTAAGCAGAAATTTAAAAAACTATTTTACAATCATATCCCATAATTCTTTAATTAAAATTTTTATTTGATTTAAATCGCAATTTAAATTAAAAAAATCTATTTTTTGATATTTTTTTAAATTAGGATGGATTTTTACCAACCTTATTAGTGGCTATATTGAAATATGGTGAATAGATTTTAATAAATAATATTTCGCAACTTATTTTCGTACGAATACTATTTTCAAATATATTACAAACTATTGTAATTATGATATTTAGTGTCAATATTTTATAAGGCAAAACACGAATGATTATTTGCAGAGGTCACTATTTTATTTAAATTATTTTATCTAATTTTTTTTTTTGAAATTCACTATTTTTTACCCTCCCAAGCCTTCATTCTGAAATTTTGTCAAAAAAACTTGATATTTTTTTAACTTTTATTATAATATTAATAAATAATACTATATTATTTTATCGAATTTATCCTTATAAATAATTTATAACTTAATAATTCATGAAATTTGGCCCCACTTATAAAATAATGGTATCACATTTTCATGTTAACAACTTGACTAGAACAATAAGAAAAAAAACTTCTAAAAATAGCTCATGAAACTATGATTTTACAATTTGAATTTAACATTTTAAATTATATTAAAGGATCTTTAAAATACAGTTTTTGACCCTATTATTAATTTCCAGTTAAAATTATGCCGCCATAATTCTCAATTTTTAATATAGAAGATTCTTTCTTTCCCATTTTATCTCACTCTATTTCATTCCCATCTATATACTTTTTAAATTTCACCCATTTAATAATTTTATTAAAATAGTATTTTCTAACTTTATCGAGATCCCAAATATATTTTTTATTTTTCCATTTTAGGGTATGTGTGTGTGCGTGTGTCAATTAATAAATTACATAATTGATAAATCTAGTATTTTAAATCCTACACGAGTGAGGTACGAATATAATTTTTGATTTAAAGTTTTATATTAAGGAGGTCTTTTCCTTTTATATTGGATGATCTCCTAGAGTTGTTGCTGGAGTATTTATTGTCTCTAAACTCTGTAAGCATACCTTTGAGTTCACTGATATCACTCTTTATTTTTTCATTAGCTTGTTTCAGCATGCCGTATTTGATGTCAATCGTGTCACCTTAAGCACATATAGAAAACTCGAAATTTAATGTATTTTTTTTTTGAATGAAAGTTATAAAAAATTGGAAAATGACAATAACCATCATTCATAATAATTCCGTGTCACTCACCAAACCCTCTTAACACGTGGTCCGCTTATTTTTTTGGAACTTCAAATAATTTACGACAAATTTTGATCTAATATTATATAAGATATATTTTTTTAAATAAAAAACAAATTTAAATATTAAATATAATTAGAGTGGGGTCCAAGTCTCTCCCCACCCCCCATTTAAAAAAATTGGGCGGGCTCTTGGATATCTCAATTATTCCAGATTCCAAGAAAAAAACAGAAATCCCTTGCAAGACACCATTGTCGACAATGTTGAATAATATGAATATTTAAATAAATAGGTAAGCTTTATAGTTAGCCAGTTTTTAATATCCCATGTTAAATAATTTATAACATATATGTGCCTAGGCTAGGTCTCCCTGTTGTCTTTTAGCTAAATCCATAAGAAAGCTATATTTTAATAATTGGGAAATAATTCATAACGAATTATAAGGGCGGCAAAATGGGGATATGCACTATTATATTTTTTAGTGATGATATCAACACATCTTTCCAATTAGTTAAATTTCGTTCAGTTAATAAAAAAATGATAATCATAAAGATATTACAAATTTATATTTAAAACGATATCAAATAACTATTCATATAGAAGGAACTCATACACACCTTAATCTAAACATTTTAACTTAATGATATCATTGAAGCCCACTGTTTTAATACATAATAAAGCTTTTTTTGATAACCATATACTCAACAATATATATTCCTCCCTGGAAAAAGTATATAGATGCCTTAATGATTTTCGCTCTAAAAAGGGGGATTGGACATCAGATTTTTATTTAACTTACCTATTTCAATATTTATATGTAGGCCAAAATTTTTACCCAATTACATCTTTAAAATTTTATTCTCCGACTTTCCTCTATTTTCCCTACTCCCTACTACCAAATCAAAATTAGCAAACAAAGAAAAAGGAAACAAATTAAAACTACCTCTACCCCCCTTTAATTTTATTCAAATAATGATAGAGCCTATATAACCCAATTTCATTGATAATCTTGAGTCATTCTCGCACTTGTTTGGGCTGCAAAATTCAAAGATTTTTTTAAACTATTCATACATGTTACGCCCTTAAACTAAACAGCGAATTATGGCCAAAAATTTCAAAATCTTCATATTTTTATATCTATCATTTTTACTTCACTTATAACTTTTGGAAAACTTGCCCTAACATTTTTTTTAAAAAAGAATTATGGGCTCACACATCTTGAATCAAACCGAGAACCACCCTATGGAAGCTAATTTTTGAGGCAGAGGCCAACTAAAACTATAGCCATTTTCAAGGCCAATTAAACCAGCCTCATGATGGTCTCCATTTGGAGAAACCATCAGAGGTATTCCTTTTTATTTTTCTCTAAAGAAAAAAAAATAAAGTTTAGTGTATTTTGTTGAATAAATATAATAATGTAAGATTAGGATTATAAATAGTTTTATATACCCTAACTTTGGATGAAATAAAAATTATAATAAATTAGTACCTTCATTTTGTGGAATTCTTGAATACAAAATTGCGTGCAAATAACGTCTTATAATTTTTCTCATCATAATCTGATAATTTTATAATATTATTATTAATAATAATAAAAACTATTTTAATAAATCCATTTTTTTGAAATAAATTTGCATAAATATTTTTTTTTATTGTAGTATATAAAGGTGGAACTGCTACAAAAGATACTTCCTTATTTTATTCTAGCTAACTAATTAGGATTTTATTTAGAGTCCCTAAGGACGATACACATTTGAGGGTATAATTTAAAAAAGTTTGAATCAAATTTATTATGGAAAGAAAGTGTTTTGCATATATAAATAAAGGTGAATTTGATGGAAAGGGTTTAAAAGATTTTCAATTCAAGGAATCAAACGGAACTGGTAAAAAATATGTATTATTTAGGGTCCATGTTCCAGAGCATCAACTAACAAAAATCTTAAGGATTATTGTTTTCCTGGATGGAATAGTAGTTAAGTAAAAGAAAATATTTCTCCGCTCCAAATTTAGCGTATTATATATTTTTTAAAAATACCATGACAAAATTAATTCCCCAATTTATGCTTTAATTTTCCTTTTTTAAGGTTCAAAATTTATTTACAAAATTATATCTAAATAATTATCTTTTTCAGACATCGCTAGTAGATATATTGATCTTGAACCATACATAAGCGTGATAAATCAAAGGATAGTTTTTAACGGAAAACGAAATATAGATTTATAAATTCTTGAGAACTCATGGCAGTGCTTAGAGTTTTGGCATCCAGGGTCAAAATAAATTTTGCGGTTTTTTAAAAACCCAGAAAAACCTAAGTGCTAAATAAAATCTAAGTTTAAATTAGCAAAGAAAGATAGGAAATCAAAATTAGCAACAAAAAATAGGAAATCCAGATTAAAATTAACACAAAAAAGATAACCAAAATCAAACCTGACCCCTTAAAACATTAACTATAATATCCCTTTAATGAATGACAATCCACCCCATTGGCTTACATCATATTTGTCGTCAATAATTCCATCCCGCTTATTTTCCCGGTTCAGCCCATTGGTCAACCCCATTTCCCGATTTCTCTAAATAATAAAATTTTTAGTTATATTTTTTTTGAAAAAAATTCTTATTAGTCATTTATTTAGTAGCACTTCATTAATAGGGGGGGGGGGGAAGAGGGAAAAAAACTAAAAATAAAAAAACTGTAAGGATAAAATCCTTATTAAATAATAAAAAAAGGATATTTAAATTGATATAAATGGAAAAAAAAAATATTTATCTTTTAAATAAAATGGAGAAATCACCTTTATAGATACCTATTTGTTGATCAATTTAAATTTGAAATTTATCGGAGTTCTGCTAGTAAAAAAAATAGTTAGTGTTATTAAACAGCCCGATTTGAGTCGATTTTTAAAAACGGCCTGATTATAATTTTAGCCAAAATAATATTATGTAAGCGTCGATATTTAGCAAATAGAAATCCAATCCTTCTGCCATCTATGAGCAAAATCTCGTGGCTTACATAATATTATGGCCGTTTAAAAAATCGGTCCTAGCTGTTTAACAGCGCAAGTAAATTTTTTTTATTATATTAAGATTTTTTTAAAAATTAGTTCATATTCTTTCCCAGAAACCTGCAGAAGGTCAAAATTGTTAAAAAAAAATTTTCAATTCGGCCCGGCAGAGTTTTGTAAAAAAACGAACCCCGTTCTGTTTACGTTTTAGACCGATTCCGATTAATAGAAAATTTTGACCTGGGTTTAGGAAAAAAAGGATAGGTTATTAAGCGTTAAAAATTAGAAATCTTGATTATATCTCTAAAAAATTTAAAAAGTAATATTAAAAATAACAATAATATATGCTAGGCAAGTAAACACTTGTATTTAAATTGAATATTTAAAAGGAATCGCAAATGGAGGAAATATCATCATTGTTCTTAGAATAGAGAATGATTTTTGGGAATATTTGTGCTTTTTAAAAAAAAAACGTTAACATCTCCCAAGCATATTTATTAATTTCATATTTACTTAGAAATTTTGCTGAAGATATAATCGATTTTCCCAAATGTATTTAGGTTCAGATTTGCTCTGCAAACTTTAAAAGGAATTTAATTTATTAAGCTTTTTAAACCATCCCAATATTATAAATTAATTTTGGTGTTCAACTATATATATTTCGGGTTAGGCCTTGGATTTAAAAAGCCGGACAAAACCAGTCCGGTAGTTAGTAAAAAATGGGACCGATTCGGGTAAGGCTGAATACAAATTTGGCTGGGCAGTGAGAAATTAAATCTAAACTGGGCTGGACCTAAAAATTTAGCCCTTTGGAGACTACTACTCTCTATGTAAAATTTTATGTTGAAATTTATTATTAAAATAATATTAATGACTTTTCAATTTGATTTAGTAGGGTAGTAATATAAGAATTATAAAGGTTACATTTCTTATGTATAATATCATAAAAATTACCCTTATTCTGAATTTATAGTAAACGCGTTATGTTCAAGCATTGCGTTATTTAACGCCATCGAAATCACAGCTGATTCTTCCCAGCGATAATTTAATTGATATACTAAAATAAAGATGATTATTTTACAAAGAATTTTGTATTTGGCCTTTCATTTTTTTTAGAGAAATAGCTTGCCATTTTGATAATTAAAGGACTACAGCCAGGGTTGTTAGGTCTACCACATTGACTACTAGACTATCACAATTTTTTTTAAAAGTAGAAATTTAGCATACTCAACTAAACTACCACAATTCTACCATATTTCTAAAATTTCCCTAAATACACCATAAAACTCTCACAAAATCTCCCACATTCTAAAAAATTTTCAAAAATTATGTTTTTTTCTTTCATAATCCTTAAACCTTAAAATTGATACTCAAGATGTAATGGCTAAATGTGATAGCGGCCGATATGAGAAAAATGAATCTTACAATTATTGATGCTCAGGACCGTCAAAAATGGAAAAAAATATCAGAGGGAAAACTGGCCAACCTGGGTAAACCTAGGAATCGCCATTAAAGGGAGAAGAAGAAATAAAAGAAATTTATCATTTAAAAAAAATAATTTAATACTTGTCCACTTATTTATTTTTTTCAAATTTATCTTATCAGATATAATAATGTCCCGTTTAATATTAACAAATGATCCACCCTTAGTGTTTTCTCCATTTTAATTAAAAAGATAGCACATTTCTTTGTGGCATGTTTTAAGTAAATATTTTTTCCCAGCAAATTTTTATTTCCTAAGTTTTCCTCAATTTTTTCCCTGCAGTTTTTTCAGGTTTCTTTTTTTTTCCGGATAGGAAAAATAATTTTGATGCTATAAAAATAAAGAAATAATTTATAGAAGATAGAATATATACAAAAATATTTAAAAAAACTAAATAATATTTTAAAATAATCCAAAATTCGGTAAAGACTCTAATTATCGATTCTAAGGCTATCTGGGATTTCACCAAACCTTTTAGTTTTTAGAAAAGTACTTTTACTTTAAATAAATTTTAGAACTATAAGAGTTATATATTTAATGTAAATTTGATTTTTAGAGGTTGTGTGAGAGATTCATTAAAGTTTTATATATAAATAGTCAGATTTACGATCATAAAAAAAAATGTAATTTTACATTGTAAATATTTGGGTCGTTAGCACCGCTATGAAGCGACACTTTGCGCATAATCAACAAACTGGTGTGCTTTACAAACTCTGCCAAGGCAAATAAAATTCCACTCAAGAAATCAAGCGATGGAATCAAATTAAATGGAATAGGTAAATATTCGCGTTCTTGGATAAAAGACATCCAAAGCTTGGAACGGGCATATTTCCATTCAACGTCTTCATCATCCTGTAAGATGGAAAAAGAAACGAAATATAAGAATGCAAAGGGGAAAATGTAGAATAATGTGAATCTCGAAAAAAAGACCTATGCAAAAAAATTTGGACCAATTAAACTGCGAAAATCACGGAAAAATGGAACTTAAATAAACTGATATACTGGGGCACAATTAAAAAGATAAGGATAATTCTTGACCTTAAATATTATCCTTAGTAATTATTTTCCGCAAGTTATTTTTCCCCATTATCTGATTGAACTATTTATTATTATATTTAAGTGCTAAATAATTGTCAAAATATTTATTAATCAAGATTCTATCCTGGAACAACTTTAAAAAAATGTCAAAAAGGAAGGCAAAAAAAAACTTTTATTTGTTGAAAGGAATCGGTCATCATAGCTATGAGCATATTAACGAGCACGACTAATGAAGTAGCTGTATACATTCCATAAAGAATATACCCCGAATTTTGGATGAAAATCCTTGATTTATTATCAAATTTGGGGGCACTGGGGTCACCCATGCCGAAAGTGGACCAAAAGAGTATCCCGAAAGTACCTTGTAGACTATGTATATACATATAATTTTAAATAATTTATTTATTAACGCTAAAATACATATAAATTTGAACAAGAAAAACGACTAAAATATACGAATAATAATATTTGCTATTAGAAGATCTGCGCCGCATAAACCAAAGGTCTGCAATGGGCGAGTTTTGGCCAAAAAGCACGCCCACTCTTTATTTTAATTTTTTTAACCCGCCAGCCCGTGTGCCCAGGGATTTAAAAATATATAAACATGCCCGCTCATTTTGATATTAAAATTTTCTACCCATGACCCAGTATTTATAAATTTTTTAACTCCTGGCATTTTTTTCAAAAGGAGTGATGTGGCATAAATGACCCTCAAGACTGGCCACAACTCTTTAACTTTTTGGTATATTAAAATTATATTATCAATTAATGAAAATGATAAAGATTCTAATTTCTACGGGCAGGCATCCGCTGATTTTTAAAAAATAGCCCGCACTCCCATCATTATTTATAAATTATTTTTATTTTACGTATTCAGTTGCAGCAAATGGGCGGGTAGGACAAAAAAGATCAAACAATGAGCGGACAGGCAAATGGATTCTAACCTTCCTTTTATCAAAACCCTATAAAACCATCTGTGAATAATATTTTTTTACGATGTAAATATATGGTTGGATCCTTCTATACTGTACATTCCATACAAGTTAGTCATACCACAAATGAAGGCCGTTAAGACCAGCACAAAAATAAACCCGAATTTGACTATATCTTCCATCATCCGACCTAGACTAATTTGTAATGGACCAACTTGCTCGTTAGCGGGTAAGAAGTAAGCCATACGCATAAAGCTCATTACGTTTGCCAACGAGAAGAATACGTTAAAAATAGCTACCGGTGTTTCCAAGGATTCGGCTATATATTATGTTATATTTAAATTATTCGAAATATATAGGTGTGATATTATACGAAAATTAAGATTTCAACTTTGTTGAATGGTGGATTTTTATCCAAAAAATATTGGTTTCGATCTTCAAATTGAGGTTAAATTTAGAGTTTTAAATCATTTTTTTATTCTAAAAACCTGACTAAATCACGTTAATGTTAGTAAAAATTAGGTAAAGCTCTGACAAGAGATACAAGGATGATCTCTAACACTAGGGGTTATAAATAAATTGCATCATTAAAATCTTAAGGGGTACCCTCATAGTAAAATATTTAGCTAGTATCCATTTTATATTTATCGTGGGGAAGGGAGTTTCACGCTATCGGCTTGGGGAGGGGGAAGAAGGTAATGCTAGAGAGTTTTGGATATAAGGTGTGACAAGGATGATAAAAAATATACATCTTTTTCCGTTGCGGCTTTCAATATCGGCCAAAAAGTCTTGAAAGGTCGTGAAATTGATTGTATTGTAAATTTTGAAGTATATGGTGAAGAGTGTAGCGTAAGCGGCAAAGTAAAGAAGAATGAGATTAAAATGCAAGTAATTCCACCAATCAGTTAGGTAATTGGCAGGCCCTTCGTTGAAAATCTGGTTCACTTCGGTGACCAAATAACCTTTTAAATATGGCAAAAAAAATTTTAAATTATTTTAATTTTAGAAATTCATATAAACGATAGCATAGAGAGCGGATAGGTATATATTTTTATATTTTAATTAATTGACCTTTAAATGGATGGATTAAATTACCCCCCCCCCCCCCTCATTATTTACATACTTATTATCTGAATGATAAATAGTCAAGTTTTTTTGAATAACCTATGACCCATAACACGACTAACAAATGAATTATGCCGAAAAAATAAAGATATTGAGCTTCGCGCAATTCTTCCTTGATGTTATCGTTTGAATATGTTGCCAACGGTGGTAGACCCAACATTTGTCGGAACAGCTGATCATTTCTTACACTCAAAAGCCCCAGGAGAATAAGGAAAATAACGTGAGACATCGCGTGCATCATAAATTTTATGATGGGACTTTGCAAAAATCGACGAAACTTTTTTTAAAATAATTCAAATTTTTTTAGGCTTTTTGAAAGGCACCACAAGCATTTATCATAAAAATTTTTGAATAATTATTTTCACAATTTATGTTAACTCATATATTTTTTTAAAGGATCTGAAATTAAAAATATATATTTTTAGGCTCAAGATTAATGAAATACTAATCAGTTTATCAGAAATAGTTGAGTCAAAAAAAATATCGAAATAAATTTTTTAAATTTATAATTGCACTAACTTGCTTGATAGGCAAGATGTAATGCCCCAGGGCTAATAAAGGAATAAAAATTCCTATTAGAAAAACGATAGCTATTTTCCCCATCGAATTACAATGTTGCCAAAATGTGAAGCCCCGATACCAAAATATGGATAGTTGTTGCTGGCAACTAGGATGTGATATAAACTTTTATTTGAATAAAAAAAATGTATAAAACATATATAATTAAATAATTAACAATGTATCTCAAAATATCAAGAAATTGTCCTATCTGGGAAAATATGATTATTGGGATAGTTAAAAATGATGTTAGATTAGATTAGATTCTATCTAATTTAAACATTTGTTTAAATTATTCATGAATTTTAAAAAGATGGAGGTTTATTATATACTAGCTGATAGGCCGTCAAGAATGACGGGGAATCAGAATTTTCTTATTTATTTAATGATGGATGAATAATAAATTTTCCTATTTTTACATAAAATTCATCTAGCAAGAATATATTTTTTATATTATAAATTACAAATACAAATGAATAAAAATTTAGTTTAAAAGATTTTTTATTGTGCACATAAATTAAAATACTATATACTTTATAAACATAATTTATAAAAAATAATGGAAAATTTTAGAATAACTCCTCATCTAAATAGATATAAATTTCTAAATCACATCTCATAAGATAGGAAAATTTCTGATTCATTCATCATCAAATAAAGGTAAAAGTTATTATTCATCCATCATTGAATAAAGAAGAAAATCTGATTCCCCGTCATTCTTGACAGGCTATCAGCTAGTAACTTATATTTTTGATAACGGGTTCTTAAAAAATCCCAAAAATATATGTAAAAGGAAAAGTCACAACAGACATTATTTTTTTTTGTTATTTATGCTAAAATAAAAATGGATTAATATTTCCTCCATATATACACTTCACAATGGCTTTCTTTATTTCCTTGTGTACAACAATTTCTTGAATCCAGCAATTATCAGAAATTTTTTGCAAATGATTTAAATAAGGCATATCTGTGGTTTGATTATTCTTTTAGGTTCAAATAAAATCAGATGGAAAATGAAATAATTCAGTTATTGAAATTAGAGACCTTCACGGGCCTTGATTTATTCATCAGCCTCCAGTCCAGGTCAGCAGTAAAAATAGTTTGCAGGCCCAGTCCATATTTAATAAAATATTCAAACCAAAGCTCATCATAAGTTTCAAAAATTTTGCCCAAGCCCATATCCAAAAATTTAATTTATTGTTTTAAATAATAAACAATATTTAAGTGTATTTAGTCAATCACTTTGTTTGCAATACTGACATTTATTATTATTAGAAGAAAAAAAAATCAATATATTTTTAAGTTAGTATTTAATAGGCTAAATTTAAATGAAAAATTTTGAGGCTTTTTATCAAAAACCCTGTCCTGGCCCAGGCACGTTAGTAAATATATAATACCTGGCATCCCTCAATAAAATATTTTGTCACCTGAGTTAGAGATTATTCTATCCCCATTTTTGTCAAAAATATTTTTTTTGATTTGATTGATTATTTAAGAATATATTAATCCATTTACATAAAAAATTTTTAGAATTTTAACTTATAAATAAATTATAGCTAATATTAATTTATTCTGTTTCCCTATTTCTTCTTATTGATAAAAATATATTATTCTGATATTTTAAAACATTTTTAAGTATTATGTAAATGGAATTAAGAGTTTTTTAACTAATAATATGGTTTTATATAAAGATCCTGATATTACTGGTTAAAAAAACAAAAAATTAAAAAGAATATTTTTTATTTATTATTTAAAAAAAATAATATTACTATAATTTTTTTCATTCCATTAAAATATACTAAAATATTTAAAATAAATGGTAATTATTATTTTATAAAATTTTTGGATTTAAAGAGAAGTTGTTTGGAGAATAGAATAATATTTCTTAAAATAAAAATAAAAATTTCATATTTATTCTATCTCCAGTTTTAGAAAAATAATAAAAATAATTTTTTAAGAGTGATGAGGATTAAATATACACATGAATTTCATAGAAAACCTTCTCTTATTTCATAAAATCATTTAAATAATACTCTTTTAAACAAAGACCTCCTAACATAGATTTGAATCAAATATGGGGTCAACCCAGTGGCGCAGCTACGAGGGTGGTTTTCGGGTTTGGACCCCTCCCAGAGCAAAATTTTTTTTTAGATTATACGTTCAAAAGACTTAAAAGTGACTTTATATCAAATAAATACCATTAATATTTATATTTTCCTGATTTTGTGGAAGGATATTATATTACTATTGAAATTATTCTGGATAGTATTATTATAAAGTCACTGAGAATAATCTACTAAATTATAATAACGTATTATTGATGCATTTAAAAAAATATTTATTATATATTATCGAAGATATGTTTATGATTTGTAAGATAAACCCGGCCGAAGGCCGGACAAAAGGGCCGAAGGCCCGTATAAGGGGGTTGCTTTTATATGTATGGACCCCTTCTAAGGAAAATTCCTAGCTACGCCACTGGGTCAACCTGATTAGGTCACAAAAACTATGTAATGGTATTCATCCCATTGCAATTGGGTATTTAGAAGATTATTAGCAAAAATAATTGCTATGGGTCAAAATCCAGAGTCCTAATTTATTAAGTATACATTGCAATTAGGATTGAGTGTTAAGGGAGAAGTCAAAATAGCATGCCACTCTTATTATATTCAGAATCCTCTTCCTAACATGGATACTATCAAAGTCTACTTTAAAATGTTTTGATAATAAATTTCGAGAATATTTCATTAATTGTTTTACTCCTAAATACCTAGAGACATACATGGTAAAATGTGTTAGAACTGGTAGCTTGTCTTGTCCTTAACTGCTGAAACACCCAATTAAATGGCTTCCACCACCTAAAAGGGGGAATATCCAGTGCAGTGAATTTGCATCCACTGTTTAGCAGTAAAATTTACCCAACTGTCAGGGCCCATTTAATTAAAAAAAGATGATGGTACCTGTTCCACTAATTGACAGTAATTTACCCTACTGTCAGGGCCCGACAGTAATTTATATTGGTAAGAATAGAAAAATAAGAAAATACATAATTAATAAATATTGTGCTTAACTTTTTAGAGTAATTGTTTCAATAGATTAGTGAATTTTTGAATGATTATATGAATAATTGTAAAAAAATATTTGATGGTAAATCTAGAAATAAAATTAATGAATGATTATAAAATAATTTATTAGTTGTTCTGTGAAAATTAATGTGGTGTATCATTGCATTTAATCATTAATAGTTTATCATAATTAAAACATACAATTAAGTGGCTTCCACCACCCAAAAGGGGGCATATTCAGTTCAGTGACCTTGCATCCACTGTTTGGCAGTAAAATTCACCCTACTGTCAGGGCCCATTTAATTAAAGAACGATGATGGTACCTGATCCACTAATTGACATTAATTTATCCTACTGTCAGGGCCAGATAGTAATTTACATAGATTATTAGTATTTGGTAAGAAAAGAGAAAGATTAAATGCAATGATATTCAAAAATTCACTAATCTATTGAAACAAATACTCTAAAAAGCACACTATTTGTTAATTATATATTTTCTTATTTTTCTATTCTTACTGAAGAATATATAACATCTTTATTATTTGCATAGTTAGATAAATCATGCAGAATTGTGATATTATAACTTTTTTATCCTATATATTATTACAATTTGATTATTCATATTAAAATAAATTACATTTTACCTTTTTATATTATTATGAATTACATTTTATTTCTCTTTTTCCCCCAAAAAATGTTCCTTTTTTATCTTTTTTAAACAATAAATAAATCATGAAATAACCAATTATATAAAATGAAAATGTTCGTTTAAATTTGAATTTAAATTGATATCAAAAATATATATCAATTGTCAAAATAAATTGATTTTAAAATAATGTTAATACGATAAAATAAAACATTAATATAAAATAATCTCGATCACTTATTTAACAATTACCAATGTAAATTACTGTCGGGCCCTGACAGTTAAATTACTGTCAATTAGTGGATCAGGTTAAGGAACTATCATCTTTCTTTAATTAAATGGGCCCTGACAGTAGGATAAATTTTACTGCCAAACAGTGCATGCAAATTCACTGCACTGGATATTCCCTCTTTTTGGTGGTGGAAGCCACTTAATTGTGTGTTTTTAATATAATAAACTATTAATGATTAAATGCAATGATACACCACATTAATTTTCACAGAATAACTAATTAAATTTTTATATTAAATATTAACAGTTGAGTCTTTAAATCTTCCATCAAGTTTATTTTGAAATCTAGATATTTGCCTACCATCTTTAAATCTTTCATCAAGTTTATTCTGAAATCTGGGTATATTTGCGTATCATAGTAATATTTTCATAGAGTTTTCCATATGATTTATAAATAGAACTGGTAGCTAAATTGAATGAATGTTGAGTTTGGTAAGGGATTACTATTGGACCGATTACGCTATAATCATTTTTATTGGACAAATACGTTTTACTATTAGCTAAATTTGATTGACGTTTTTTGAAGATTATTATAATAGATATGTTTACGGTGTGGTTTTTTCCCGCAATGTGTTATTTTTTCAACTTTAAAACATTTTTTAGGCGCGTTTTATTTAAATTTAAAAATCTGATTTTAGCGGAAATGTATTCCAGCATGTTTAGAATACCTATCTTATGAATTGTAAACAATTATACCTTAACTTTTGAATGACTTAAATAAAATAAATGATCAAATATATGAAGTGGTGAATAAATTAAATGTTATGAATTTTATACCTTCTTTTGTTTGGTTTTGATGGCGATTTTGAGCATATTCAATTCAGAACCGTCGATCTCGTCTGCGTTGAAAGCGTCTATGTTTTTCGTAAGGTTCTTGTCTCTGTCGCTTTTAATAAATTTGTTTGTAGGTTTTGGCGTGGACTTCCCCTTTAAAATTGTTAGCAGTTCATCAGTGGATCGACATAAGTTCTCAAGAACAACGGAATAATCTTTGCACTGGTTGCTGAGTTTCACATATTCGATCTTTAATTAGATTTGTGAGTTTTTTTGTAACTATTAATCTAAATAGTTTACTTTTCCAGTTACCAATTATTTTTCAAGTTAGTATTTTTCAAATTACAAGTTACTTTTCAAACTACTAGTCACTTTTCAAGTTACTAGTTACTTTTTAAAATATATTAAATATTTATATATAATATATCTCATTCATTATCTTCATTATAGGATTTCCAAAATTTAAAACTACTGTTTATTAAATATAATGTCTCAGAGGTCAAAGATCATGTCCTATCGGTCTTAGAACAGGACCGGACCGGACCGATTCAATCTTTTTTGAGGACCGTGGTCCGGACCGGTCTTTTTATTTTTTACGGTCCAGACCGGTTTTTTATTATTATTTAAGTTTGCTTTACTATTCAATTATTATAATTTTTTTGTATATTTTATTTTATGATATTTTTATAGATGAGTTATTTTAGATTTTTTAATTTTTATTTTACAATATGAAAACCATAAGCTTGTCCAAGAAACATTTTACTTATAGTCCCAATAAAAAACATGAGTATGTGTTCACTGCAGTACCAAATTTAATGTATCGCCAGCAACAAGTAACAAAATAATTATAATTTTTTAAGCAATATATTAATCAAAATAAGCGTATTATTATTAAAATATTTGGGTTATTATTTATATAGTTCTATTTTTTCTTAAGAAACTGTCTGAATAATTCATTGTCAAAATAACTTAACCTTATTCTTAATAAAATAATTAGGTACCTTAAGTAGACATCTAATAAAACATAAAATATATACTTCTAATGATGAAAATGAAAATATCTCAAAAACACAATCTACTCTTAATTTTAATATGCCCTCCACAAGTACAAAATCACTTTCTTCAATACTATTGGATAAATTTTATTGTTTATATAATACTCTTATATTTAATAAAATGATAAAACAAATTAAATTAGGTTAAAAAATTTTTTTAAACAACGGGACCGGTCTTTTTATTTAGGACCACGGTCTGGATCGATTTTTTCTTAAGGACCGTGGTCCAGTCCGGTCCGAGGTTATCGGTCCAGCCCGGACCAAAGACCGGACCGTGACCTTCACTATGTCTCACTTACATTCTTTCGGACTGGCGCCATATTGACTAGTAAAAAAAGTCTCACGAGGTCCCTTAAAAATGCAGATGTTGATGCCTTAAGATGTCTCTCGGACCCTAACAAAATATCTTGTAGTTGGGGACTTCATTGAGGCCCCAAAATATATTCGAAGTTCTTTATTTTATTGAAATTTTTTAAAATAACTATATTTCAAATGAAAGAATGCTAATTATTATGTATTTGTACATTTTGATTTAAATTCACTGTAGGCAAACCCCCTCTGAAACCTATGCCTGACCATCTAAAATAATCGAATTAAGCAGGAAATATGCAGAATGGCGTGTTACAAAATCAAACTTATATATAGCAGGCAGGCATAGTTTTTATTAGTATTGCAATCGTAGGCGTTGAGTTTTTCCATATTGTCTCGTGAAAGCATTTGAGAGAAATTTTTTTTATTAAATATTAGTTTTCTTACTACTTCTAAACATATAAAAATTATTTATCTTCAAAGTATTTAATATTTCTAGATTGAACATTTCATAAAACTGTTCCAATTATTTTGGAAATTTCTAACTAAATTATAGCCGTCAGTAAAGTTTTTGAGAAATCCGGCACTTCTTATTTTATGTTAAGTTTTCATAACAAATACATTTCCCACATTTGCTGGTTTGCCAATTCACGATTTAGCAGGATTTAGAACCGTTAAATATAAGTTAGGTTCTTTTCGGGTTTTAGTTTAAAATTTTATAAAGGTTTTGCTTCATCGGTGTTACATCTGAATATTTATTATTGTAAAGGTTAAGATATATTTTAAAAGGTCACGTTATATATTTTAAAAGGAGGTTATTTGTATATTATAACTTTCCGACATGTAATATTATATTATCGAGGTTAATCAAATTGCATATTATTAGAAGTTAAATTGGATAATTATATAAATGTATATATACCAAAAGAATTACAAATAAAATTCATTATCGTTTTTTAAACTTTAATCGATTTAATATTTGGCGACGAGGTAGAAGGTCGCGCGGTTTTCGGTCTTCGGTCAAGTTAAATGTTATATAGAATTATAATTTTTTTTTCCTGTTATAAAAAAAATAAATAAAATAATAATAGATTTGTTTAGAAATTATGGATAAATGAATGAGATAAATGGGCTATTGACGACTATAGACACATAAAAAATCCTCAAAATTTTCTATTGACGACTTAGAGGAGGAATTGATTTCATTAGATTAAGTCGCGGCCCTACTGAATCCATAATAAAGAACTAAGAATTCGCGATCAATTAATCGCCGGAGAACTATGTTTACTACCCAGATACTAAAGACGAAGACCAACCGTTAAAACTTAAACAAAATTATAGAATTTATGATAAAGGCACGATGCAGCCTATTTAGATTTCCATGGATTATAGAATTTATAATGATAAAGGGCACTATCAAAATGATTTTGCAGCCTATTTAGATTTCCATGGATTATAGAATTTATGATAATGATAAAGGGCACTATCAAAAGTATAACCTATTTAAATTTCATGGATTATAGAATTTATATGAAAAAGGGCACAATCAAAATGATTGATGCAGCCTATTTAGATTACCATGGATTTTAGAATTTATAATGATAAAGGGCACTATCAAAATTATTTATACAGCCTATTTGGATTTCTGTTTATAAAATTTGACACAGCCTATTTGGATTTCCAGGGATTATAGAATTTGACTTATCGTTACCAACATATGTAGAATTAACATGATCAACAATATAATGATAATGGTAACGTGAATATTGACAAACTATATAGAGTAACCTGGAGTACTCCAATGGTAGTGGTACGTAAAACTTCAGGTGAACTACGATTGAGAATAATTCTACCAACGAATCGCAAAAATCGCTATAGATCTACAGATGATAGAAAAACTAGAATCGCCATCACAATCCTGGAAAAGGGAAGAAAAAAAAATAAACGTACAAAACCGTATTAAAACATTCCGACCAACTACGAATAAGGGAAGAAAGGGAAGAACCAGACGAAATCAAATCAATAATAACAATTGAACTCAAAAAGGAAGGCAAACGGGTTCAACAAGGGAACTAAAGCCAACAAAAAAATTAATAGATGAACTTGAACTTGATAAATAAAAAGATTGGTAGACGATCTTAACTTGGTGGGAAAGAAGATATGTTACATCTGAATATTTATTATAGGTTAAGATATATTTTAAAAGGTCACGTTATATATTTTAAAAGGACGTTATTTGTATATTATATTATATTATCGAGGTTAATCAAATTGCATATTATTAGAAGTTAAATTGGATAATTATATAAATGTATATATACCAAAAGAATTACAAATAAAATTCATTATCGTTTTTTAAACTTTAATCGATTTAATAATCGGGTTTTTTTGAAGAATTTTATATCGGTTTGAGTTGGAATTTATAATGGTTCTTTTCGGATTGTTCGTGTTTTTTAAATTTGATTTTAAAAAAAAATTAATCATAAATTATATATATATTTTTAGGGAAAAATCTTTATTTATATTTGTATGTTTGTAATGGTTGAAGCCAGGTTCGTTGGCTGTTCATCCATCGGAGAGGGGGGATCGACTGAGTTCGATGGTCCGGGATTATCGGAAAATAAGACTGGAGGACCGGACTTAGCGGGCATTTTTGTCATCGTAAGTGGTATTTTAGACAGAATGTAAATTTATTGAAAACTAAAATTGTTGCCGTAAAAGAAACAAACAAAAAACCATAAAAATATAACTACATAAATTATTTAATGATGTATAAATTTTTTAGGGAGTCCTTATATACTAAACATTTCCAAACAAAACGAATAAAAAAATCTATCGACGTATTGTTATAATTTTTTTCCTCATGTAATGGCCAATCTTGAAACTGGCTAGGACCAATTTTATAAAATATAAAAACAAGCTTTGTCTATAAATTACGATTAGGGTAAAACAAAATAATGGATAATACTGTTTTGAGTAAAAAAAAGAAACCATTTAATAACACACTTTTATTTCTGTGATAGTACCAAAGGTATAAAATTATAATAGGATTTTGTGACAAACAATGTGGCGAGGCTTTGGTGGGGAGGGGGGTATATAAGAGATTTTTAAGTGAAAAGAAACGTCCCATCGAGATTAGGTGTATTAAACACAATAAATTTAACCATAAAGATTATTTCTTATCTAATTAACTAGTAATTTGCCTAACTAATTTCTATTAAATTAAGTATATAAACTTGGTATTATTTAATATGAAGATAATGGCGATTTAATTGTATAAAAAATTTAATTTGAAAAGAAATCACAAATATAAATTTCCCCCAAGGAAAATTAAAATCTCATATTTAGGTTAATAATTTAAAATTAATATTTTTAAAAACCCTTATGAACCAGGTTAAACAGGTTCAAAATATTTATAACAGTTCGGTTCACTCTTTTTATACTTTCTTTATAGCTGTTCGGTTACAGTTCAAAAAATTATAACTGTTCGTTCCGGTTTTTGGTTCGGTTCGAAACCTGCTATTTAGTCTATATTTATATTCGGTAATAACCAAACAATTTAATGTTCATTTTGTATGCAATTATACTTTCTTAGAAATAATTTTGTTATAGTACAATAAAATTTAATTTTATATGAACCTTTGTGGTACTCCGCATATATTTCTAAGTGATTAAATTAATTACCAGTACCATCACATCATTGGAATTCACAGACAATTAAAATTTATCCTAAATATTGTGCTAATTCATTTTTGAAAAATGATCTCAATATTAGAGGAAGATTTTCAAAGAAAGAATATAAATGAGCTATAAATGTTTATCAACTCTTTAGAAAAAGAAACAAAGTTTAGAGATAATATAGGCAATAAAATTGTTCCATTTATGATTGCTTTGGGTTACCCCTTTTCCAGGGAGCAGTTTAGCTTGGCATTTACTTGTTTATCATTTTTTATTGGACGAAAAATTGTTTTCTGGATGGCGTAACTTAAAGTGTCAGGTCCGGATTAGAGTCCCATAGATTAAATTTTTGGACCCGTTTTATCATGCTATTGGTTATTTAAAATAATACTGGGGCTTTACTTTAAAAAAATGGTGGCCTCAGAAATCAAATAACATACTCTTTTAAAATTCTTTTTTAGGGAATTGAGGCGATTTTATTTGAAATAGTGGATGAAAGTAATTAAATTCTAAAAAATCGGAAAATACATTATTAAACCCATAAGTTACTCTCTAAGGAATTAATTCTGAATTTCTAGCAAATTCGTTTTTGTTCCAAATAGTATTGAGACTGATTTTTGCAGTAGATCTAAAGCTATAGACATTATTCCATCTCGTAACACAAGACACAGAGAACAATAAGCTTTCAAAATTGCAGATATAGGATTACGAATTTGTAACGCTGTGCATTTAATCTTGATTTAGCCTCTTCTTTTTTAAAAATTATAATTAAAGTTTTTCATTTAAAAATTGATAACTTGAAACTGAAACTTAGATTTGTAAGATTATCTTCAACAACATTTACATCCAAATTACATATTTTAAATTCAGATTGCGTAATTATCACATTAAAAAGAGCAAATAATTAACTTCTCTTTTCTACCGATGAATGAGGAAAAATTGGATTTATACTGATTTTTAATATTTATTACTTATCAAATTGTAGTAATTTATAATTCTAAAATCATATTTTTATGAATAATTTTCAATTAAAAGTTACTAATATTTTTTTGTTATCAATTATATATAATTATAAATTATTATTTGTTCCTACATATAATTGATGGTAATTTAATTATATACTATAAATCTAACATAGCTGACTTATGTGATTTAAATGATCAGGTTATCAAGGTTTTACGGCAATAAATTAGTGTAAATAATAATTTCTTTACCGCACTATATTTTAACCTTAAATTCTTTTTCTACTTTGGACAAGTCAGCGAGCTCCTTGCTGAGTTCAAACGCCGTGTTAAGTGGATCATTGCTAGAGAGGCTTATATAGGCCTGACTGGCCAGCCCTTTGTAAGCATTAAGCCTGGAGTGTGAATGCCTTACGGAATCAAATTTTCGTTGATTACTGCAGCTTATGCATTTGCAGTCGTAAATGTGTGGTCGTGGTATTATGGCCCCATTTGCCAAGAGCAATTGAATAAGTTTCACATTGTTCCTTTGCGCAGCCAGAATAATTGGCGACATATCGGCAGAAAAACTTAGGTTTTCTGTCTCGGTACTGAAAAAGGAATCGTTACCTAGGAGTTGGTTCCTGATAAGTGTATTTCTGTGGAATGGATGTTGCAAGATCTGCTCGCATATTGCCAGATTACCTTTATCTATAGCATGGAGCCAGGCCTCTCCTACCCTTTGCAACTGCATTCGAGGAATAAGAAAGTCGATCACATCGATCTGTTCTTCCAGTACTGCTAGTTGCAATGCACTTCTGCCTAAGTAATCGACACAATTGAGATTTAAGCCCGGGTTTTCTTGTAAAATCTCGTGAAGAGAAATTTGGTCTCCTTTTTCCGCGGCACTTAAATATCTGCTCTCTATTTCAGTCAAAGAGGCATCACCAAATATTATATGTGAGAGTCTTTCGTGCAAATTGTTTTCGGGATCTAGGGAATTGTTGGTGCTTTGATTTATTTTTCCAGCAAGTTTTGGATCGTGAATCTTTTGGGAGTATGAATAGGGGTCTTTTGGTTGTTTCATTCTTTATATTATCGATTGAGTTTTGGATTGTGAAAATATATTATAATTTCCTAGGTTGTAATGACGAAAAATGATTATACTTTATTAGTACGGATGTTAGCGCGATTGCCTCAAACCATTCAAGGAAAACGTTAAATAAAAAATAGATTTATTTGTTTTTATTTTATTTAAAAAAAATTTAATAAAAAAAATGATATAAATTATATTACCTGTTAATATTATAACGAATCGAATAAAATAATCGAAAAATAAATGGAAAATTTTATAAATATTTTAGTGTTTTAAATTTTATATTAAGAATTTTCAGCATTATGGAAGTATATGATAGTTAAGCATTATTATGAGCTACTGTCTTTTCATCAATGTTTACTAATTCTTCTTTTCTGCATTTTAAGAGAAAATAATTGCCAGATTAGTTAGACTCAGACAAACATTCTAAGCCTGCATTTATAGTTAGCATGAATTCGTGGTGAAGTATACAAAAATTAAAATTATTATATTTATATCATATTTTGTATATCTCGCCACGAATTGGCGCTAACTGTGAATGCAGGGCGAGATGAAAATTGTATTTTGGATTTTTTAAATATACTTATGTATATAAAAAAAATTCAAGAGAAAAATGAGAAATCTATTTATTTTTATTTTCCTCTAGCATGTATAATTTATCCATCTTTTTTTAAAAAATTATATTCTTTTTCTTAGTTCTTTAATTTTTTTTTTCTTAGCGGATAAGTTTGAAGTGGATCAGAATCTTTAAAAAATAGTAGTCATTTCGGATCTGAAGAACAGAAAATTTAATTTTTTTTCTCGGATAGGGCGGACTTGATACAAAAAATATATCGGATGCGGGGTTCTAATTCATATCAGATTTTTATATTTATAATATGATAAAAAAAAAGAATTGGTTTTTATAAATTATATTATCATCTGCTATTAATTTCTAAATATTCCATATTTTGCATTTTATATTGTATAAAATTTAATTAAATTTAATATAGTACTAGGAATTTTTTTTTAGTGCCCTTCCACTTATTATTCTTATGTAGGTAAGATTTTGGCGACTTTCTTATAAAACAGGTTGTAGAAGAATGTGCAAAATAATAAAGAAAACCATTTTGCGTTTTTTTTAAAAATGGCTTCCAATGCCAGGCGGTAATATGAGTAAGATACCATTTGAAATAAATTATTTCCGTTTGACCCTGTATTCATAGAGCGCGAATTCGCGCTGGAGTATACAAAATATGCTGTAATTTTGTATTATTTGTCGCGAATTTTGTATGTTTCGCTGGGAATTAGCACTAACTGCGAATGAGGGGTGAAACGCTCAATCTGTGCACACTATAATCCTGAAATAAAAGTTGAGGAATATAAAATGCAGCATTCTTTACATATTGGTAAGTATTTGACTTTATTTTTTAAAATTCATGGCTTAAATTTTTTATAGATCTAGGCCGCCTGATTTGGATTTTAAGAAACTAGCTAAAAATATTAGGTCGTGCCGGGCGCACGGGGAGGGCATGACACAAGATCTCCATTAAAATTTAAAATAAGATGGAATTGGGGTATGAGGAAATATGGAGAGGTGAATATGGGTTTGGCTAATTTTGATTTAAATTTCCTTTTTTGCTAATTTTGATGATTTAGAAGTAGGAAGGAAAGTAAATTTTTTTTTAGGAAAGGGAGGGTGGGGAAATTGTCATTTGCATTTTAGTGAGTGTAGAAACTAGAATGGGCTAAAAAATATCACGGGCAATCCAAATATATTTTCTAATGATCTTTAGACACTGGGTAGTGCTGATATTATTATTATAAATTTATTTTTAAAAAAACTGTATTTTAAGAGAAAACATTGATTGTAGATCTTTTCGTTAACCTTCATAATTTTTAATTTTTTTTAATCTAATTTTATCTACGAAAACTGTCAAACAATAATCAAATATTAAATTATATTTCATCATTATGTTTATTTCTTATACAAATCCTATATAGACAATTATAAATATGGTGTGTGCATATCTATACTTCTCTCCTCCATTAGCTCAAATTATTAGACAACTTATATATTTTCCTTAATTTAAATCTGTATTTTAAATTAAGATAACATTTTTGACTTTAATTGCTACTGTAGTATATTCAAAATTTCTTTGATCTTTTCATATAAGAAAATCTTTTAAATATAGTAGGAAAGATCGAATCAATTATTAGTATCGAATTTTAAACATTGCACCAGATGAAAAGCTAACTAGTCAAAATAAGACTATTTTAAGTGCGCTTTGGTTCTTGCGCATTGATTTTCAATTCCTTTTTCTTGTTACTTTTGATTTTGATTTACTTTTCTTAGGCCTTGGGAGTTATGATTTTATAATTTAAAATAATTTATAATTATGTGATTTCTCATTACTTGCATTTATTCTTCGTCCAGGATTGTATATATCAATGCGAGTTGAATAATTTGCCATACTTAATTACTTTAGCCCGCACATATTTTACATTTTGTTCAAAAAACATAGGTGTGAGAAAGCATAAGATATGCAATAATAATATTGAAATTTTGAGAATCACTGCCAAATTGTTAGATCTGTCAATCAACCCTGCATTCCATTTGATTTTTTATCTTAATTATATCGTTTATAAAAGATACTTTTTAAGATGTATCGATATCTCAATAATAATTATATCACATGACTTAAAAATATATATATAACACGATACGCTTTAGAAAATTTATCGAGATATAGATATAATTATTTTCACTATACAATGCAATATATTATAATTATAACTTAAAATATGCATAAAAATGTCAAGATCTCATATTTTATAGCGCATATATCAAAGCTGGCTATGAAAAAATGAAAAAATTGGATTATTTCTATTTTTTCCTTCTTCTTATCTTTTGTAAATTCCACCAAAATATTTATCTGCATTTTTTATTATGGAAAAATTATTTTAAACATTAATAAAGGAAGGAATTTTTATTGAAAATGGTTGAATTCCATGTAACAAAATCAACTATTTATCTAGACAAGAAAAGTTTGAGTAATGTTTTCATTTTTTAAATAACTGAGATCTTTTTTATTGAAGACGAATACCATTTTCTATATTTGATTTAGATTTAGTCTTCTGAGATTTTTTTGTTTTTATCAAAATAATCGAGTGTTTTCTCTTATTAAAAAGGAAATTATATGCCCTTGCGTCTTCAGGCTCCGCATTAAAGGTTAGATATTTTAACAAATTCTAATATCTTTAATTATACCAAATATAGGTAGCCTTTGAATGATAAATAAACACATAAAATGGGGCAGCAGAACTTTTAAAAAAATTCCTCTTATTCTTAGCTATTCATTCCATACTATCTAAATTATAATATTTTTTCTTTGTTATTTTTTTTATAAAAAGAAGATATTTTCGCATATAAATTCATCATGTCATAATTTTTTTTCCATATAAAATCGAAATACCTGGTCAATGTTAGTAAAAAAATATGTATTTTTTTTTATGTCATAATATTTTTATTTTAAAAAAAAATATTTTCCACGTTTATTAGTGATATGATAAATCGCATTGCCCTTTAATCATTATAGATACACTAGAGCCATACTACCAGGTATTCCAAATTTCCATCAAACTGGTTATAAAGTAAAAGGGATCGAAGAGCCCTATACTCGTTTGTAGGCAAGACGCACGTACTTGTACGCATGATATGTGGTCGAAAAAAAAAGGATTGGGCAAAGAATATAGCCGAACTCAACTATAAATTGCATATATGTATAATTACTTTATAGGGTAAGGGAAAGGGGTAATTTTTATTTTAAATTACTACATATCTATGTTAAATAAGTTAATTTCGTTGGTTGAAAATATTGAACAAATAACTTTATACCATGTTGATATAACGTTTTCGTAAACAAGTATAATTTTATAGTTATTCACTTTTAATTAAGCACTATCTTCGTGGATAAAATATTATTTTAGGAATAGCGTGTGATTAATTTGGGAATTTGGCCTTATGTTTGTGAGTGATTAAGATGTAAGGCGCGGCAAAAATCTATTTTTAATTTGAGGTTATAAAAATATATAGATAATTGATTTTTATTTTCTAATTTGAAGCCTATTCTATTACTTTAATCTTTATCCTATAATATAAATAAATTTATTGCGTTTAGTATAATATTTTATTACTTCTATATTGGTAAATAAATAAATTTTTTAATTTTATAATAATGATATTATTTATTTATATTGTGGTCCACAGTTTTGATTTGATGCTTGAAAATTCTCTTCAAACCAAATGTGAGTGGTGACCCTGAATTAACTGTACTATTCTTTCGTTCGAGTTATGTTATAAAATTCAAAGTAATGGATTAAGTTTTAAATTATTATTAGATACATAATTTAAATTTGAATCTAACAATCGTTGTTTTGGGATGACCAATTTGTGTTAACATTATAATTTTATACTATAAAGTTGGTGTTATTATATTAAAATTAAAATAAATATCAAGATGTTAATTATGAGACATATATACATTCAGATATTTTATAAGTTATAAAATAATATAAAACATGATAATTACCCTTAGGAAATAGGTAAATATATATATGATGCTAGATATAGGTGCTGCATTTTTGATTATAAGTTATAAAAAATACCGTAAATATTAGTATAAGAAAAATATAATTAGTTTGACAATTTAATGCATCAAGAATAAAGATCTTAGGAAAAATTAACATTTATAATGAATAAAATAATTAAGTGTCTAAATTTATCGATAATTGATATAAAGAGTAGAAACCAAAAATGAGGTGGGATTGTATTGCAAAAATAGATGTAGTTAATATAGCAATTGATATAAAATATACCGGAGAAATTGATTAAAAAGAAAGGAGAGGAAAATGATGTAAAGGAAAGAAACAAACAATCTCAGGAATTGGAAACATGGCGAAATACCATAGTAAATATAATAAATAATTATAGTAAATATTGAGATTTGAGATGTTTAGTGAATTAAATTATGAAGTTGATTTCCATTCAAAAGGAAGGATTT